TTAACAGGCCAATAACCTGTTTTTATTTGATTAGTTATAACTTGGCCCTCCTTATGTTCTTGCTGTCTGGATATGAGAGTTACGTGTGCAATATTTACTAAGAGAACATACCATTTACTTGTGCTTGGTCAGGGCTATAGCATGCCTCGAGGGTAGGCAGTATATGAGTGTGGGGCAATGGTGGAATGTTGTTTAGCAGGATAAACCCGAAGAACTCGGAGCAAACCTGCTTCAGTACCACTTTTTCTCGGGTCTCACTTGAAGTCACACGGGATTAAATCCTAATTTTCGGGATGAAAAATCAGCTTCTAGGTGCCTTAGATCTAAGCCATGTATGATAAAATTAAATTAATTTCTGACTACTTGTACGAATGGAATTCTCAGCGTCTTTTTCCCACATTTTATTAATTTTGAATACCTAAAAGAAAGTTCGGTTTACTCGTATATATGGCAGTATTAGGCAAATATGAGTTACACAGTACTTAAGTAGGGATTTAAACTTGTATGACCCATTATGGAAGGGTAAACTATAATACAAATGTTGGTGTCTCTAACCGTAGAAGATTCCTCATTTATTGTTTTTAACGGAATATCTCCACTGAAATTTATGTACATTCTCGATGATTCATTCCATTAATATTATGACAATAGCATTTTATTAAAATAACAAACTCTTAAGATGGCTGTCTTCTGGACTGTAGCGCGATCATCTCCCCGATAATGGAGGCAGCAGGGACCTGTGAAACGGTAAATTTCTACCAGACTACACGGTCCTACAATCCAGAAGACAGCCACCTTAGGATGATGGATAATGTCAATGAAGTTTTTTATTTCATAAATACATTATGTGTATGTGTGTGAACGATGTATGATGCACATTACTCCTGAAGAATATATATAAAAAATACCTAGATATAATGATGTAGGTAACTTGACTGTCTCTGTTACTAGTAACGGTTTAAATTTAATAAGAATTAAACCTGTAAGTCCTATTATAAGTAATGGCCACCACTCGCTTTTCTGTTAAAACGTGGCATCCACTACAACCCACTTTGTCTGCTTCTTTCCTTTGACGAAGAAATCCGAAACATTAATGACGTGAACCGCCCTGTTTTGTAGAACTTGTTTTGTTCTTACTGGGTTTTAAGAAGAAGAATTAGAGCGGAAACGAGTATTTTTTCCGCAACGTTTAGAATCCCATTAAACGGGATTATTTCCCGTCAAAGCGAAATAACAGTCACAGTTGTGTTTTACATTCTGGTACATTTCTTTTCCCGGTGCATCGTCTTTGTTGCCTCTAAATGGATATTGGGAGCTTGTGTTTAATGTGGAAGCAGACACTTTCTGTCTGGTATGAATACTTGTGTGAACAGATTGTCTTGTTCAGCACGTCCAGCTCTGGCCAGCTTGAGCTTCGGTGTAAGCAGTCGATTTGTGTAAATTATATTTCTCTTATATTCATATATTTACTTCTACACCATTTTTCTGCTAGCGTGGAAGATAATTTATTTATTTTGTGTATATTATTTTATAACAAATTAATGTTATCAGCGCAAACACGTACCTTATTTAGACCATTCCAGCCCACTCTAATTCTCTTGAAATTCCTTGAACGTTTATCTAGGTCCTTGCTGCCTTCATCATCAGGATGATAGCCCTGATGTTGGAGGCAGCAAGCATTTCTGAAACGTCGGTGAATTTGTACCAGACTGCACGGCCCAACAGCCGAGAAGATTGCCATCTTCAGTGAAATGATTCCCTCAAGATAGACCACACTGATTTGAGAGCACTTTCTGACAGAAAAATAACTTGTTAAGAGCGTATGGCTAGAAAAAAGACTATTCGGACATTATGGATTGAAGGTATGTGTATGGAATAAGGAAAGTATAAAGAAAGAAGTGTTGTTCCCTCCCGCACCTGATTCTAGGTCACCAACAACAGTGCTTAGCGACATGATGTACAATGTATCAGACTTTCTCAAAAGGGCGGAGCGCTTCCAACTGTCACAATACAACCTCCGTATTTCCAGCAACTAAGCTTAGTAACCACCTGAAGTTTTAGATCCTCGGATCGTGAAGGAACATACAAATTGCCCAAAATTTTTATTTCTTAATAGTTTCATATACGTCCTTGGTGTTTAACAAATAATTAAATAATTTCCGAGTTATTATCACGGCAACTTCAGTCCACACTTCGTCACAATCTCCACAGAAAGAGTGACGGAAACGAATCAATCACAAAAAAATGTTTTATGGTTCTGCGAAGAAAATATTTTACTATGTAACCCTTATAACGTGATGAAAGCATTTGTCAGTCTGTATTTGTACATGTATTCTGTTTTTGAAATACATACAGTAAGTAGTATGTAAGTGGTATACATACTGACAGACCAATTCCCAGCGTTATACTAAACTTAGAATTTAATTACTATGCTCTCAAGAACTCTAGTCCCTTGACTTGAGCCAAGTGAATTCAGCCCACACCTTCCGATACCATTTCTTTAAGATCCGTTTTAATATTATCCTGTCATCTACGCCTAGGTTTACCAAATTGTTTCTCCCTCCAGGTTCGTATGTAATGATCGAACAGAACTGCAACTTACGTGTTCTGTCCATCCATATTCAGCAGCTTACCTCTCTGTCAGACTGTCCTGAAGATGTAGATACGTGGAAACAATAAGTGGCATTCAGCAGCACTAGCAGGACACACAATGTCGGCAGACATCGCAACACCGACACTGGCATCGTCCTCCTCGCTACGACGCCGTCTTCGTCACTGTTGTGTTTAGATGACGTAAGAACGTTTATCGCACATCAATATTCACGTGCTGTCCTCCTGCTCACTTTGTGCTTTCCTGTTACTTCCATTCGACAATACGACCCAGGATCGCGAAACCACTGAAGTAAATTTGTGTCACTGATAGACTGCAATTGATTCTCTACCACATCTGCAGGAATTTACAATAGTAACTCACGCCTCTGTTATGTAACAGACTTAAACACACTTAGCAAGAATTTATAGACAATTTTTGACTGTAAATTCGTATTCCTTTATGAGCACAAGAAGGAAGAGATTACTGAATTGAACCACGTGTATTTCACACTCTTTTAGTAAGTACTTTTCCTTGTGTTGCTAAAAGTTTACCAAAGTTCGAGTAATTATACAGCTGTTCCATCACCTCTCGTATCCATCCTCTGAGTGAAGTTGCCACGTGCCCGTGTTCGCGTTCACGTTGTCGCGAACGCGCCCGTCCGACTCCTTGTCCCACTGACAATTGCTTTCACCGTCGTCTGTAACAACATCTCGCAAGCCGCTACTCGCACTGATGAAAGTTGCAGTAAGGAGAATAGGAAAAGGAGAGTAAAAAGCTCTCCTTGAAAAATACTCCATGGTTTTAGGAGGGAAACATCTGTGTAGCTCTCACTTTAGAGAAGTACTCTGTAACCATGTCAACTCCTGGTTTATTAGTTCCATCGTGTTTTCTTTCGGAGTTTCACTTCTGCTGAGAAAACTTGTGTACAGGAAACCCTGACGAAGCATTACATCGAAACATTTATTGTCATAGAACATGCAAGCGACGTGCCCTGCTTTCGAATCTAATGGAGTCAGAACAGGTGTAATTCATGTCCGTTGATGTTCTCTCTGAATTATGACAGCTTATCAGCGTCTTCAAATTTCACAATTTGATCCTATATTGAGTCAGCTAAATCCATATATTCTTAAGCGGGTATCGCTGTTTTGTGACGAATAATACAAACTCAAAGAAAATAAATCACTTCCAACTGAAAGATAATATTGAATCTAAAGAATTCTGAAACTGAGTTGTTAAACATCATCCACAGGACCGGAGAATGGTAATCAATCTTTCTACAGGAACTAACGAGAGTGAAATTGATTGTGAGCCTCTCATGCTGTACAATGAAGGCGATTGAACATGTGATTGGATATCGAAAGCTTGTAATGAATAAAGCGAAACTCGTATGTGATGTGAAACTTACACGGTGTGCCATAATGAGGTACGTATAGCTCGAGGCGCGTGATTGTTATATCCTTAGTCTGATAAGCTTCTTGACCGGATCAAGAATTGTACAAATTTTGTATGAATACTTATGTTATCTATCGTGAGGTTTTGTTGTTTCTCCGATACTAATTCTAATATACTCATCTCCGAATAAATTCATTTGAGCTTCAACCTGTCGAAGGAAGAATATATCCCGAAAACCCTCTGCTGAATTCTAATAGAACGATATATAATTAGATATTTGAAAACCACATTAAGAAATCAAATCAATGTCCACGAAAAATGTTAGAGCAGATTAAAATCGGTGAATGTTTTTTTTTTCAATTCGTATTTTTTTAACTTTCTGTCTTTTATCTAAATACCTGAAGATTAAAACACTAAATTAAACGACTATAAACCTCTCAAGCAGGGTTCTGCTTTATGATGTAATGTTACAGAGTTAAACCACATAATAAAAATACTTTTTTCTTCCAAACAGCATGTCCACAATATTATTTGATTTTAGGACATTTAAAACGCCACATTACATGTATAAAATAAATATCGGAATTATAATACTTTTATATTACTCTCCTGTAATTTTTAAAATAACCATTTGATTTAATGTTTCCTCCAGTAAGATTTCCTTACAGCTGTTTCAGTAGCCGAACTTACTCATTTTAAACCTGTTTCATAACAGCTTCCAAAAAAAAAATCTTCTGCTTTCATCGGCCTTTCTATGCTATTTCAGAAACGAAAATATGACTACGGCTCAGAATAAAAATTACTGCACAACCCTCCTCATGTGCGTGCATTCAAACCCAGCTCTAAACAGAGCCAAAAGTTTCAATACCGGTCGACAAAGGCGTTCTTTAATGTCTCTCACCATCAATCTTCATACATTGTGGTCCCATTCATGAGTAATGACAGCTTTGTTGTTGCTGTAGCCGATAAACTGCAGCACGTTATGATCTATTGGCCTCATTATATGCTACATTAAATCATCGCGTGTCACATCCCTGGAACTTATGCTATCGCTGCTGTAATACTGTCTAATGTTTGTTCTTGAGGTTATATTTAATACCATATACCTCAATATGTCTACAATTGTTTATAATATTTTGGATATCTATTACTCTTCAGTTTTGAATTTATTTTTCGTATGACTTTACCTGTTGTGTAGTTCTCTGACGGAAGAAAAAGAGATTGGTGTTTGGTAATAGAATTCGGAAGAGAATGTCTTTGTCTAAAGAAACTGTAGTAATATGGGGATACGAAATATTATATAAAGAAGGCTTTTTGACAGTATTAAGAGATTGTTATTCGGTTTGAACAAATTATAAATTTATCTGAATCCGTCAATTGGTTTCGGCGTTGAAATATGCTGACAAACGGGCAGACACACTCTATTATACGCTCATTTTATTTACCTGTTGTATCGAACACAATACTAATAACAACAACAATAATACTCGCAGCTTGCATCATAGTGCGTTTTGCCTTGTTAAATGCATTCTGTCTCAAAGAAATGACAAATTAAATTATGAAATACATATGTAACAATGTGTGAGTTGGTCTGTGTTCCTGAAGAATTTCAAGGTAGCATAAGAAAGGCTTTTCATTTTGTAGTCCCACTTAAGTGGTGTTCTCAACTTTTTTACTTGCAACTTTGACATACTGTCGAAGTGTTAAGTAATGTTGCTTTCAGATATAGGCATACAAATAGCATTTGGCCCCTTTTAACGCCTGGTTGCATTTGATTTCTAAGGTACAGCTGTTCTAAATATGGCACTTTTAATGACTATCTTGCGAAAGCGCCCTCTTTAAACCAATTTACTGAAATAATAAAAGTGATTATTTATTATGACAATTTTACGAATATATTTTTCGTTAAATCATAATAAAAAGGGACATAAATATCCCCTTTCTTTGAAAGGGATTTTCTTGTTATAAACTAAGACTGAAATAATTAAAGTCCGTGTTTATGACAGTCTCATGAATGTGTGTGTGTGTGTATTAGTCCTTCAAAACTGCGAAAGTTACGTTTTAAATTTTTATTTCTTGCAATATCATGTAATAAAACATTTGTGGCGTACCATTTGATATTCGCACAGTTCCATTTATATAAATGTTTTTGCACCATTTCACATTGTTTATGAACACGGTTTAAAAACTACAAGAAGTACAGTAACTGTATTGTGTGGGGATGTAGGTCATTCGCCTACTTCTGGTGCCGTCCCACGGAACTGTGTACCTCCCTTCCCCCTGGTGTCCTCCAGCTACTCATCCACCCAGTGACCTTGTTTCTTACTTCCTCGGCACGCGGTGGACAAGGGCAAGTGAGTGAGAGCTGTACTTCACGGCCACCGCTAAGGCCATTGGCTTCCTGAGGCGATTACCATTCCCCCATCTCTAAAATTAAAGAGCGATACGTAGTGAAGAGCTTAATCTAGGGGATCCACTGAAACTACTACGGTTCTATTTCATTTCCGTTCGGATCATCGATGTATGAGATTTTAAATGGTATGAGCGTCTGGAATAGGCATAACAAACGAGCATCTTCATGCCCTCTTGGAAATGATAATGACGGCAGAGATGTTCGCCGAAACGTTGAGCTGTTTTCCCACAACTGACACTGCTTGTTACCCGAGAAAATGTTATCGAGTCCAGTCGCCATGAAAGCTTCAAGTCTTACATCCAACATGTAATTAAACAAAATAATAATTAACACGCCTGCGTTATAAAGGAAGGAAAGCCATGCTTGCCGACATGGAATATTTGTATCTCCACGCCCTACTTCTTTAACGTACATTTTAACTTTTATTCTCCATTCTAAGCCAAATATTGTACTATTCCTTTTCTTGGAGGTTTTTTCTATCTAAAACGTTCTTTACGCTGATAATTTATCCTAAGCATTTTTCACTTGTCACATTTTTTATTCAAATTTATGTAATAATATCAGAAGCCAGGTTACAATCTGAAATATCTTCTGGCTGCCAGTGGTTGTTATTTGTAAACAGGAAAGCATGGCTCAATTCACCTAAACGTCAGGTATAAATAAATTCAGTACAAAATCTCTTAAATGCATTCAATACGCCCTGCCTCCAACCTTTCATACTTGGCATGAAGAAAAACGTAATTAGAATATTCTGTGTCAAAAGACAGACTTGCTGGGAGGGGCACGACGTTTGCCAACTTCTATTTTTCCTTTCAGTCTTCAAATGTAGGTTAGTGAAATGGTACAGACGACGAATAGCCAACAGCATTTGCTATTAGCTTTTTTTTACTAGTAAATGTGTTAGTAATATAGATTATTACAATTTTTAAACAAAACATATTGATATGCATGTTGGAATATGCGTTACTCTTACGTCTGGACTGTCGAAAAAATAAATTTTTTCATAATGTCGCTAGAGTCCTTGAGTAGCCATTGATCTCTCAGCTAGTCAAGAAAGTCCCTGTCTTTTATGGAACGAGAGGTTCATTCCTGTTTTTCGATTGTCTCGTGTATGTATTGTTTTAGGTTGTCGTATATTCAGTCATTACTTTTGAATTAATAGAGTGTTTTATTTTTATTTTAAAAATTGCGTTTAAATAATGCATTTCAAGGAAAGCATTCTATTATTATTAGGTAGTGACTTAGGCTGTTGGCAGTTTTATGAAATATTTCAACAACATTGTTTTTTTTTAAATGAAAATCTAATTGTGGGGGGGGGGGTAATTGTTTAACAATAAGAACATGGACATAATTCTATGTCGGTGTCAAGTACAAGTCAAATGGTCTGAATATAAATGCATGCCATCTAACGGTGGCCTGTGTTTAGCACTAAATAATGTCTGTCCGAATGTTCTGCCCTCTAGTAGAAGTACACGAACCAGTTAGAAGGAAAGTAGTTGGACACGGACACACACACACACTAAAGTGTCCATAGATATAAAGTATAAAATTTCGAGGTCTCGAAATGAAATACCCCATTATCTAAATACTTTTAATTAACCCTTCAGACCGAAAACCTGTTTTTGGAAATGTTATGCATGTTTAGTCCTCCAGTTACAGAGTGATTTGTCGTATTTATTGTGGTACTTCACAAATATTTGTATGTCTATAAGTGTCTGGGAATATGAACACAAAATTGTGTTAAAAATAGTAAATTGGGCTCTTGAAGATGACTGTCTTCTGGGATGGTGCGCCGTGTACTCTGGTTGAAGTTTACCGACATTTCAGGCCTACATAATCAGGGCGGTGATGGCCGATCGATGAACTTCTATCATACTAGACGACTCAACATTTATACTCGCAGCTGTAAGAACCTATAGCCTCACCTAAATTTGGATCTTGTCACTTATCATCATCATAACAATCACGTTATCACTCAGCTGGGCCGTTTTTTACCTATTTCCGGACTCGCATGTCTGACAGTTTGTTCATCGTCGTCCTTGGTTTCTCGCTCCAGATTTTCTGTATTTCATCATTAATTAGAAAAATCTACTCCTGTATTCTGTGAACGTGACAAAATCTATATATGCTTGCACACCAAATATTTCTGTCAGTACTTATGTGATCTTTTGCTTATTAAAAATTCCTTACTCTCTTTCCAGCGTTTAGACTCGTATTTTGTGTTCTGTCAGGCTAAAGGTAGGTTCAGGTGTAATTGAAATTGAGGGGATTGTACTCTGAGGATGGCCGTGAGTTGAGTTAGTAATTTTAAATTAACTGACCCATTTATTAAACATTTTATAGTTGCGCCGATATCCTAAATAGTTTACTGTACAATAAATAATCGTGATCATTGATCTAGGCTATAGTCAGGTACTTTGATGTCCGGATGATTCCTGTCACAACGGGGGCGGACACATGCATTCGTCACCTATTTGCTGGTGTATCCAATCCAAGTAATTGGCGACCTTAGTGTATATTCCAGGAAAATAGGGCCTGGCACAACCTCGACCCCAGGATACTATACCTGCCGGCACAAGAAAAATCACATGAAATGTACTTATGCGCAGTTGGTCAACAGAATTGTCTAAATTGGAAGCCCGATAAAGAGATGGAGTACACGATGTATGAGGTTCTTGTGGTGATGGAGTCTCCAGTTTTGTTCTTCTGTGTTGTAACGCCACGTGAACTTGAAAGTACGTACCAGCAATATGAAGAAATGTACTTACGCCATTTTCAGATCTGAAGTTGAAGGAATTTGAAGCTAGTTTAATTACGTAATTATTTATTAATAAGGTTGGTTACCTTCAATACGCACGGTGGAAATTTTAAATTGACGTAGACGACGTACGTTTTCCAGAGCTTTTTGTTAATGGAGACATTCAGGCAGTGTTCATAATACGAGGTAAATTATCTGTCCTCTGCATGCATTAAATCTTATAGATGCTTCTTAAAATTATTCAGTAGTTAGGTTATTCATGAAAATTCATGTTGGAAACGTTTTTGTGTAATTTGTCACTTACCCACGGCTTCCATGAAGCCACGTTCGCCGTCGACATGCAGTGGTCCACCGCTGTCTCCCTGAAAAGTGAAGCGTTTGAAATGCGAATAATCTTGGCTGTGCTAGGCGTTGTAAGTACCAAATCTCATATTCTCTTTAGGCTCCAACTATCCAAGGATATGAATGTTTAGGCAACAAGCGATATGTCACTAAGTTTTCATTATATTCCTACATTTTATCCGCTTTTGAGTAGTTCAAAGCCACAGCTTTGCAAGGGACCGTGATTTACAAATATACAAGTAGAGTGACAGTATGCCTTCTGACTCCATGTAGTCATGCAGGTGTTTTCTGATTTTTCGAAGAACCTGCCGCCTCCATCTAAAGGCGGCTTTCTAATATTGAATGTTCAGTTAGAAAACAAATACATATATGAATGTTAAAACATATATATAGAGTCGCCAGGCTTAAAACTTAGATCTCTTTGGCAGAATTTATTACTTAAGAACTTCTGTAACTTATTTACATTTGTCAGCAATAATAAAATGTTACCCGAGTGGGATTCGATCTTATGTCTATATGTACGAGCCCAAACCGCTACCCCATGGGCAAAGATATAAGAGAAGTCGCTTTGAATAAAATTTCAAATCCTGAAGTTGAAGGCGACACGTTTCTCCGAAACTACAGCGTCACAACCCAGAAGACGACAGTCGAGTTGTTTTGAAATCCATCCGATTAATTTAACCTCGTTCTCACCTGACACGCGTCCTTCTTGCCGTCCGGGTATCCCGCGCAGAACATGTTTTCGGTGATCCTGTTATTGGAGTAACCGGACTTGGAGCACTCCTCCTTGGACATGATAGGGACGGCCACTTTGCGCAGAGCAGTGGATGTGGGTCTCCTCTCATCTGTTCGACCCCATCCCACCACGATGCCCATCCGACCCACGTAGTTCTTGGTGCCTGCAAAACACATTCAGATCATAGAGCGAATGAATTGCAGACAGGGAACGTTTTTCGGACGGTGCAGAAGCGAATATTTATGTAAAACGCTGGGCTAGATGATTTCAAGGTTGCCGCGAAATTGTCCTTATTGAGAACAGTTGATTTTGATCTGAGCTCGCGTTTCCCCGAAAAGTTCTGTCTATCTTCACGTTCACACAGCGTTACAATCTACAATAACACTATCGACATATTCACCGCCATGAGAAATTTTAGGGCTAGCGCGCTCGAGCGGTTTTTCTGCCGCAGCGGTAAAACTACCGCAACCGCGTATTCTTGTTGCCTGTTCACACGGACGGTGAAATAAACGCATTGTCGGCGTTTTCTTTTCATCTCGGAGCTGGGTTTTGTGGAAACAGTCGGGGTGTGCTCTAGCCTGATAAGTCGAGGCATAGATTTTTGTTGAGACTGTCGCTGTGTGCGCTTTGGTGCTAATAGCAAGGGCAAAGCGTAGAAGAAAATTTTGGGTACATCCACTTGTAAGCCAAAGATTGCTGACAGGCCAGTTTCACAAGTTATATGAAGATCTGTATGTATCCAAAGAAATTCTTTGGATACTTCCGAATGAGTAGCAGCAGTTTCGACGAGTTGTTGTTCATCATTGGACCATCTATTACCTACCAAAATACTGTAATGAGGAGGTCTGTGCAGCCAGAAGAAAGATTGGCAGTAATTTTACGGTAAGAAGAAAAAGTTATATATTTAATTTTATTGTCACTGTACTCTGGCATGACCTTATTGTACAGTGCCGGCCTCTTCTCCAATTCGATAATGATTCTCTCACTACCAAAAACTGAGGTGTCAAGTTCCATTACGCGTGTAATCGCCACCAAGATCGGGCAAACACTGGTCGGCCGTGCGGCTGTTTCACCGCTCGTGCGCGCACGCAGTTATGTTTCCTTGTGTTCCATTGCCACCGCCAGCCGCTGTGCGGCAGCCGCACAGCATCCAAAATGAAGCATGTTGCGGCAGAAATACCGCTGCGGCTGTTTCACCGCTCGTGCGCGCAGGGTCTTAGTGCTGTGCTTTTGTGCCAGAACTGTCACTAACGCAGTGACACAATGAAATACGGAGTTAGGCAAATTACTGCATTGACATCTTAAGTTATTTTTTCTCATAAAATGTGAGGTTTAGTGACTTAATTATCTTTCCCGCAACACTACAAACTTGCGCCTTGTTTTACGAGAAACGTGCGGTCTCGGGTAGTTCAAAGCATTTGGAGTGCTGTTAGAATTCCACTCTAAGCTTTCGGCATTATACTACGAGAGTATAGTAACGACAAAGGGCTTATATGGCGTCTAAGGATCGTGTCGAATTTCGTAACAGGTCCCCCATCTCATTCACGCGCACTTCTCTCCAACTCACCATCAGCTGGTAGACACGCGGGACGGACAGTGGCATTGAGTTCCACCGGAGACTCGAGTTCCAGAACGGCAATGTCGTTGTTGAAGGTTAAGATGCTGAAGTTAGCATAAACTATAGCTCTGGCCAATTTCCTCTCAACTGTCACTGTCTCCGTCTTGCTCACCCTGTCGTGTTCCCCAAGCACCGCGCGGATGTCTTTCGCGTTGTATCTGAAACAAATTTTCCCTCTGGATAATGCTTAAAGTTTACGCGTGCGACCGAAGCCACGACGACAAAAGAAGTGACGACGTCTGTTTCTAAACCATTTATTGCCAAACCTGTTCTTAATTTACAATAGGCCCATGGTGTTCGTCATTCAGCGTCATTTAGGTTTTCCTGGTTATGTTTTTATTATCGTTATTGCAGGGTCAATTTCTGTAGCTTTACTGCTTGGCAGACGCGACCACTTGCAAATTACAGTTCTGCGACAAAACCAGTTCTTATATGGCAACTAGCACAAAGACCGCGGTGTTACCTGGCATTGGTAAGATTACTTGATACTTGTCGTTGAATATATTAGTGAAAAAATTGCTGTACCTAAGCCCAACATCTTCAGCGAAACTCGAAATAAGCAGAGACTTTTCTTACACCCATACTGGCAGTAAATTTACCCTACATTGCACCCCATATTTACCTAAAATATACAAATTATAATACGAATTGATATAAAAACCAGCGTCAACTCATTGCCCATATATGTGCTAGTGAGCAAAAGTTGACGAAATGTAAAAAACTTTTCCTTACTTGGATGGAGGTTCCTGGAACATGGAACTCACCCGTCAACGCAATGAGCTGCCGTTAGCACGTGGCGTCTGGTGATGAGACTTCCGGCACAATAGAACTTCCCGCGCTTCATCAGCTCAACGACCCAGGGGAACTCATTCACCTTCGTCACCTGGCCACCTACAATCCTCTGCTTTCGGTTTGGTAAGCCACAAACTAGAATAATTCACAGGCCGAAAATTATAAACTGTTCTCTCGTTTTCGTAACACACATGAGAGAGGTAAGAAATGTAACTGAGTCGGAGAAATTGACGTGAAGAGACCACTTGCGAAACCTATGTTTAATCTGGGAGATAATATTAAAATGCACCTTAAGGCTTTATAGTGTTTGAATATGTGAAATTAGATTCGACTGGCTTAGGATAGGAACAATTTGTGGGTTTTGTGAAGACGACAATGAGCGTTTTATTCCACAAGATACGGGGCTGTAAGAGTGAGTATTAGCCTCTGAAGAAGAATTATGCTCCATCACCGAGTGTTGCAGGAGATGAAACTTGCAAGCTGGCATAGTGATGACCTAACATAACCTTTCCGTGAAGCCTTTGTTCTTTTAATATGCGGCACTAAAACTTATTTTCCCGACTCTGCGCATTCTTCATCCTTCTGGATCCTGAATACTTACCGCAATCACAAGAATTGTCCCCGCTGTCCTCAGTGGTGGTGTTCTCGTCGTAGTATGTGGTGTCTTCGTTGATGGTGTCGTTGTAATGTAACTGCACTGTGGAGTTGGGTTGATTGGGTAGCGGTGGTTCGGCTATACCGTCATCCTGCATGCGATTATATTTATTAGTATAATTTATACTATTTCTCACACGGCGGTGAACAAGTCAGTGTTGGTCTTCTGGGCTGTAACGCGTTGTGGACTCGTAGGTAGATACTAATGTTCCTCCAAAACGTTGGTATTTCTAAACAACTTTGTACTGTGTTAAATTCAGGGAGACCAACATCGACGGATTTACTAAACCTCTGGAGAAGGAGACCCAGTCTCATTTGTGTAGTGCGCCCTGGCTTTATTTATATTGTTTATCTATCGGGAGATGGGAGCCATCCTTTAACTTTTAACTGGGCTGGATTGAAGTAAGTTGGGCTAGTTTCGTTCCAAAAGTCAGGCGTTCTCCTCAGCCTGAACATTTTTTCCTCGCTACAAATGTTTGCTCACATCAAAAATAAATTATGATAAATCGTTCACTTATAACTTAATGAATGTGCTACTATCCAACCAAAGCTCAAGTCTAATGAACTACATTTTTAACGGACTCGGTCATTTTGCCACTCTGTAGTGAAGTACTTATTCCGACCACAGTTGTGGTTCTTCTGGCTACGGTCTATGATAGTCACTTAGGAAAATCACATATATCTAAAAAAAATCATAAGGGCGTGTATTTTCTGTTGTATGTTACGTCATCTGTAGAAGACCTTCAGGTCACTAAAGATGTAAGCAGCGTAATATTATTTAATTTTACAGTAGCACGTGCATCGTGTACCATGCTCAGCCTGTTGAATATTCATAGAACGCAAGAATGCGTTAAATATGGTGACATATTTATACCTGGGATAAGTAAACTTCATATCTTAGCTTTACCAGTTCATATAGTAAGCATTTTAAGAGCATTTCGTGTGTAAAGAAAATAGAAATACGATTCCACGTAACCCGTTTCTTTTTTGATCCTAAGGTAACTTTGCTAAAGTAGACTAGATATTTCATTAGCCCTGTATGACTTATTCGCCGAACGGGATCGATATGTTGATAAAATACACAATTTTCCCGTAACTTTTTTAAACCTAAAACGCATACATGTTGAAGACCTAGAAGTGGATGGGAGAATAATAGCCAAATGGCTCGAAAGAAAGTAGGATGGGAGGGAAAATGGATTCATCTGCATCAGGATATGGACCCGTGGCTGGCTGTTATGAACTCTGTAAGAACTTTCGCGTTCCATACAAGATGTTTTTTTTTTCCATTGACTGTCTGATCGTGTTATCAAGTTTCTTAAGAAGGAATCTGCTAATAAAGTTAGTTATCACATAAATTTTAAGTGTCACTCTTCAATATTGGATGTTATTTTCACTTTTATGAAAGTATACTTTAGCATTCGACTGAAATAACTTATTATTAGACACTTGGAAGAACGCACCAGGAAGATTTTGTTTTGAGACAGAATAAAACATTTATAAAAAGAATCCTGCGCAAACTGTGTTGTAATCACGATGAGGTCATTATTTAACTATCTAATTACAAGCATGCAACGAAATACCATTCTCTTTTAACTTACCGTCTGAGGCATTGCGTATATAGCGAAGTCTAAAACGGTCAAGATGGTGACCACCACACACACAGAAGCTTTATAACATAGCATTTCTGTTAACGAAAAGGATTAAAATTTAACTTAACTCACTGAAAAACTGATAAGAGGTGTTACAGTGCCTACATCTGAGGACTCACTGATATATGTGCAGTTTGTGGGTGTGAACTATATATACAATTTTGACATTCTGTCCCATAGAGATATCTGTTCTAGTACGTGAGGGGAGAGGGGAACAATATTTTACCTTGACTGTTTTTAATCAATAGAAGTATGTATATACTTTTCCTTATCCCCACTGCTGCTAAAGCTTTTGTTTAATGTTCAGTACGAAAGTGAGATTGTGTTCTGTCATAACCAATAACCTCGACCTCACTTCTTATCCCTTGTACTTCCCTGTGACGAATATTATTCATGGTGAGAGAACTACATTCATAATCTCTACATAATGAATTTAAAGATGCAAGTCCACGTGTTATATGTAATGCTAGAAGTATGTCAATATCAGGTCATTGTCATGCAGGCATAAAATATTATTTACTCTGTGTAACACAGACTGTTTTATGAAAGGAAAAGCGACACATAAAACATATTTCTACGAACCCTTGTAACAGTGTTTGAATTCAGATGAATGCAAACTTTTTCAGTTGTGTAAATAATTGTGTATGTTCTGGAAGAATATATTTCTTCTTCAGACCTGTACTCGGATCTCTTTAAATATGGGTGAATTTAAACACGTTTGAACTGTATTATCAAATACTGTAATTCTATTAGATTTGCGAGATTTTCTTATATGCATGAACGCATATTTGAACATTTATCCTTGCAAGGTATATTTATTTTTATCGTTAAGAAGATTTTCCATTGATGCATTTTATACCTTGTAATTATATATTAGGTTAGATTAAATTAAATCGGACGGATATTTAAATTGTTAGACCAGAAGGGCCAGAAGTCAAAGTCTCGATGGACGAAGTACGCATGGACCGGAGAGCCTCGCGAGAAAATAATTTGCTTTTAGAAATTATTAAATATATACTAATCGTTCATACTGACTGAACACAATTTATTTACAGAAACATAAAGGATCACAGAATATCCCAGAAAATGTAGCGTCTAGCCTGCAGCAACTGGAATTCTATTCCTGGCAGGTGTAAGGATTTTTCTCTTTTACCCACCACCGCGGTCAGACCTGGTCTGGGACGCACCCAGGTGCATGACTACAGGTTACTGGAGGCCTTATTCTCGGGAGTAAAGTGGCCAATGTTTTTAAGCTAATCAGTCATATCTATCTAGTGCTGAAGTGTATAATGCGTGAAGTTATACCTCCGATCCGTTATATTTTTTCTTAACTTTGAATTTCTATCACTCTATGTCTTAAATTTGAGTGTCAATACTTTTTACAAAGTATGAGAAGAAGCCATATTGTTACTGATGTATAAACTCATATTGGAGTTTTTCGTGAGTCCTACTTTTGCACTTGTTTTATGAATGAATATCCTTTTCAACTTCGTTCTATTTGAAAACGGGTCGCATAATTCTGTCCCCAGTTTCCATTTGTTTGAAAGATTACTAGTGCCCCTTTTCCATGAAACTGTCAAACCATTTCTCAGCTGCATTGACACTGCCATGGATGGCAATATGTTGACATATCAAGAACACAATATGAAAAATACAAAGAAGCAGCTTAAAAGCAGGTGCTCTGCTTCTGCTTAGGACATGATTTGAATCAGTAATCATTTTATGACCTAAAACCTAACAGGTCAGTGAGCGGGCATACTGCTGGCTTTTCTGAGTGGGATTTCTCAATTAAAATGCCGGTATGAGACCTTGAAATATGCAACAACTGTCTAATTCCCAATATTTGAATAACAAATAACATAAAATCAATCAATTTAGGCCCTCTGTGGCTTTTAACATCAAACTGTTCGTGATCTTATCGGCCGATAGTTGTCTGTCCGAATTATACTTTTCCATTTTGATATTTTTTTAAAACCTTGTACCGTGTAGTGTACTGGAATATAAAACATGTATACACATATCGTTGAAGTTCACAGACACAGACTACGCAACCACGTCTCACCGTAGACCAACAACGGCAATCAGACCAGTGGACATGAAAGGCAAGTGCCCAATATAACACACCAACTCCTGTGCAATCAACGTCCAATGAGGTGTTACATAAATATGGTTTTGTAAAATACATAACTTTCACGCCCTGTTAAAAACCACAACGTTTTTGATTTGTTTTATATGAATAACTTGTTTTCTTGCCACTGATGATGACCTCTTGAGGTCGAAACGCGTTTAGCATTAGTGTCCTTCAAAGTTTAAACAGTTTTGTTTGTATACATGTTTTATATTTCATTTTGATATTTTCTTACCAGATTCATCATTAGACCTGGATTTAATTTGATTTCTTCAGTCTTCTATGAGTCGTTCAGTTCTGATGTCATGTAGGCAGTGTTGGGATTAGATTGAATGGTGGCTAAATAAGCAATCTACTAGAACCACGCAAGGCAGCCCCTTATGTCCGTGTCTGCACCATCATGTATATACTGTGAGGAACTGTCACTTCCATGTAAACATAAATTCAAGTTCACATGCAAACTTAATAAAGGAGTTCTATTAGCACGCAACTTATGCAGATTTCAAGGAAGTAACACACACAAATGCAACATTAATTCCTTTTTCCGGGCTCCATGTGAACCCACATATTTGTCTGCAGATAACATAAGAAATACCAACTGAATATGGCAAAGAGCTGATACCGTATTGCAGTGGTATTCAACCTGGGGTACGCGAAGACATCTTAGGGGGTACGTGAAATTAAAAAAATATTATTTTATGATGAACACTAAATAATCAGGGCCAGATTTAGAGTTAGCCACAGTAGAACCGGACGTAAGGACATTCGATTTGGGAGATTATATACTATGTATAACTTGAATTATACACCAACAACTTTGGGGGTACAAAGTTGAAGAGAATTATATCTGAGGGTACGCGAACAAAAAAGGTTGAATATCACTGCCTTATAGTACTACGCGGGTTTAATGGTGGATATAGTTGCATTATTGGGGAAGTTTCTTTGTAGTTTCATCGTTTATCCTTTCATTTTAAAAACCCATAATTGAGAATTTAATTATTTAGTTTGTTTTTCTGGTTTGTCATTCCAAAGTAATATACGACAAAGCAGTCAATTTTGCTATACATATAGTGGAAATGTCAGATTATTTTTTATTAGGCAGTAAGTACATAATATTTCAGACCGAATATTAGAGTACATAAATAAATAGTAGGAACACGTTGGAAAGAATAATGAAAACTGAATTTTAAAGAGTTTTAAATTATATTCCACGATAAAAATAAAATGTAGGAACAATTAAAGAATGGCTTTAACAGAAGACTTCTAATCAGGCGAAATATGCAATGCGAGCCTAATTTTGAACCTGTTAAAGATTATTTCTAACACTGTTTTATTCTACCTGAATTGAAGTGTTGAAAGCATTTTCTCTGTTTGTAATTCTCTTTTATGATAATGTGTAAACAGTTAAAATGATTTATTTTCAGACACCCATTCATATGTGATGTGACGTATGTCATACGGGGAATATTGTTATGTTCTGTAGACCATAGAATCCAAACCTATCTATGTCATCTTTGCATTGTCTTCAAGCCTATGTAACATAACTATTTTCTAAATCCTTTAACACCATATAGCTGTCATCTTTTTAAACAACGCGTATACCACGTGCAGGCATTGTGATCATTAACTACGTTCAATATACGTTACTGAAATCCCAGTAAGCTAAAAATGTTCCTTTAAAATTGATCTGCCACTATAATTCGTGTATTATAAAACGACTTTGCCACTTAACACCGCAGACCTATATTGAAATTCTTACCATTTATTTTGTTACGTACCGAAACTCAGGAAACATATCTAAAATAAACATACCACTTCTAAATAATGACTCAGAGGGCAGACATTGTGACTCGCAAAGTTTTCCATTGCTGTGGAGAGACAGAAACATTAGTCTTCAATAAATATGTGGAAATTTCTATTGTTCTTTGGAAGTGTTTTGAGCTGCTTGTTTAGAGATTACTGTAAGTTGTTTTCTCTTGAAATTTCAGATCTCATACATAACAATTCTTTGGTCTTGTATGCAAAATTTTTACATCAACCTACAGCGCTTAAATTAGAGGGTCTTTCACTTCCTCTGAATGTCTTAGCGCATTTCGGTGAGTTGCGAAAGGTTGTTGCAGAAGGTTAATTTTCAGTGTTCATGTTACTTTTATTATGAGCCGTGATAGCTCAGACAGTATAGTGACTAGCTACGGGCTGGACGACCGGGGTTCGATCCTCGACGGGGGCAGAGGATTTTTCCTCTAGCCTCTGCGTCCAAACCGGCTATGGGGCCCACCCAGCCTCCTCTACAATGGGTACCGGGGGTCCTTTCCCGGGGGTAAAGCCGGCCGGGGCGTTATGCTGACCAACTCACTCCCATCTAGTGCCGAGGTCAAGGAAGAGAGGAGCTATACCTCCACTCACCCCAAGCGCCTACATGGCGTATAGTGAGACAGCTTTACTTTACTTTACTTTACTTTTATATTACTTTTATTATTCCCTGTAATTAACTGTTCGGGAATATGTTTGGTAATAATGTATTATGATCATTTCATTAAGGTAGACTACACCGGCAGGGACTGAAGCACGCGTGAGGGAGATAATATGTACAAAATTTTATTAGAACAACCACGAAGGAAGAGACCACTTGGGAGACCTAGACGTAGATGGTGATAATATTAAATGTATTTTTCAGAATGAGAATAGATTTGATTTAACTGAGTCTGGATATTTAATCGCTTTGTGAACATTGTGGTAAACATTCAGCATGGGTAAAATCAGAGAATGTCTTGGATATTTTGGCACCAACTTTCAGAACAACGGCATTGTATTCCACCTGTCCCCGTAATTATCTCACGGGCAACAATAAACAGGTATGGTTCAGAATTGTTTTCTAGTAACGCGTAAACTAACTAACTAGTTCATGGCTTACCGAACACAAAGGTTCATCACCGGATTAACCAAAGCCCTCCACCGGACCCTGTCCTGGGCCAACAAAATCCAATCTCCTTCAACTTCTATCTCCCATGGACCCCGTCTGACATTATCCTCCCATCTACGTCTAGGTCTCCCCAGCGGTCTCTTCCCCTCAGGCTTCCCAACCTATACCCGGTGCACACCTCTTGTCCCATCCTGCACCGCGTAAACTCCCATAAATACCCTAATGAGATCATTGCCGATCTTGTAGTGCATAACGGTGTCACTTCGCAGTGTCACGTAAATAATATATTAATCTCTTTTTAAGACTACAAAGCAGTTTCATGATTTTATTAGGCCTGTCGTTTTACTTAAGAAAATAATTTAAGTCGAGTTATAAACAGACTTTGAAAAGTTCTTAAACATTTATGTTGCAATCACCGTTATTAACATGCGTTATGGATTTTTTTAAGGCAACAGGGCCTGTCAGGGTCCCTACGTGTTATAGAAAAAGTGACAGAATGTAAACAAAGTTAGCAGAGGGAGATTACAAGGGCAAGACTAGAATGGGCAGACGGTATGAAGGCCGCCATTCGACATGTGGGAAGTGCTCCATTTGCTAATTGCACTTGACAGATTTATTGCAGGTTTCTCACGCCTTTATTGCCTCATTACGTGGCATGACCTGTGGTATAGGCAAGTGAAGTGTAAATCATAGTGGCGCGCAATTTTAATATCTTTATAGTCCAGTGGCAACTAAATGTCCCATTTGCTCTAACGATAAACAAGTCCGCATTTTTTTTGGGTTTTGTCACTGTGAAGAGGGATTCTTTTCTTAAAGAGGACCATAAAGTGATGTATGGTTATAGGTTTCGGAAATTATAAAAGTTCAACATATCTTTGTATAATGTAAAGTACCAACATGGCGGCTGAATGAAAAACAAATCTACTTCACCGGGATTTGTTCCTGACGGGTTGACTACGTCTTTTGTAAGTTTAATTAAAGTGGAGATAACATCGAATTGCGTGGGACTTACATCATATTTAGTTTATTTACTGAGGCTACTCTGGAACCATGGTAGCCGCCACCAAACTTCACGCTTCAAGGAGACGCGGAAGATGGAATTAAGATTAACGCTATTTTTTCAACCACTTTTACAGTTTGTTAGTACAATTAACTTTTAACCTAGTGCAACGATAACTGAAACGTCCACACTAGTTGTGATGTGAATAGTTAGTTTGATAAAAAATACGAACTTATTGTATTTAATGTAGAGTATTGAGTTTGTCATTTTAGATTAGTTTTTTTTGACTCAGTACACTAGAATTTTGCGTATGAGTTCTTTAATTATTGTTTTGTTTTAGGGGTGTAATTTTTTAAGTTCCTTATTTTCATTTATTTTTATTTAGGGTTATAGATTTGTTTTTTTCAATAGTACTTTTTTGTACTTAATAAAATACTACGTTAACTTCAGCCTCATTTGTGGGATTTTGTATTCAAAATTGGCTTTATAATAAAGTGTGTGAATTTGTGTAGTTATAGCCACGGCGGTCTAGCGGTTAGAACGCTGGCCTTGTAATCCTGGGGTCTCGGGTTCGATTCCCGGCGGTGCCCGAATTTATAACTTGTGTTGGACAAGGCCGTCGTCTAGGCAACACGGAGTGTTTCTCCGGGGGCTTCCCCGGTTTCTCCGTGGCATCCCAACAATTACTCCATTCACACACAGAAGAAGGCAATGGCAAACCACTTCTGGATCATCTGCCAAGAACGTATATGAACAGGTCCCAGTCCGAGAAAAGGATGGAAGGATCCTGTTCATATGGACCTGTAGTCAGACAGAACACTAAATAAATAAAATAATAATATAATAATAATTTGTGTAGAATTTGAACATCCTTTGACAATGGCGTGATCTTTAATAAGTAGCCCACATGATGATACCTGTCCCTTGACCCATATTGTACGGCGGCCCTAACACAAGGTTAGCGACCAGCACACACGATCGCTCATGTACTTATATAAATATGCATGTAGCGGATCTCGAACGAAAGTGAATGTGCTGACGACATCATCGAAACTCGTGTTGCGGTGATCTTCAAAAATGGTGACATACATCTGGAAAAGTACAGTAGTCCTGTTGCTAATTGTTACATTCGTTGACTACGCTCAGCTACAGGTACGTCCTCTTTGATCTGTGACACAAGAGTTGACCAACACGTATGTTACGTACATATGGCCATAAATATGTCAGTGGAACAAACCGTTGTCAGTACGTATTATATAAAACTGTAGCAAAAGTAACTCTGAGTATCAGAAACATTCTTGAGAAGCGTATAGTCAATATTTTAGTCAAAAATTTATCGACTTTTGTGAAGCTGGAGGATTATTACCGCGTTTACAAGAACACGTGAAATATCTTGGGATTGACATTGAATTGTCTTTTATTTGCTTCGAAAAAGTTGGACACACATGAAATAAATTTTATTTTATTTAAGTTGTGCTGTAGTAGGAGATAAGACGATCTATTTATTATATTGCTTGTTTGTTTCTAAAGTAATATTTAACTGCTTTAGAAGTAAAGTCTATTCCTATGTGGCGTCGGATGACGTTTAATTGTGTACGTTTTAAAAAAAAGCTCTCTGGAAAATATTTGGACTTGGAAAGGATAAAACAATTTAGGATACTTTATACACTAAACGATATTAGAAATAGTCATCTCTTGAATCATGATCAATAGTGGTCATCGTGACACCATGGCGTCTGGTAGTGAAAATGAAAAAAGTACGAAAAATGTAGTGATAGGCCTCAAACTACGCCTTAAATTAAAATTTATTTTTATTTTGTTTTAGTGTTTAATACAGCAGATAAAAGTATATAAATCCTACGTTAATGTGTTAATATTAAAGCAACTAGTATCGTCATCAGGTTATATGGCGTTTCTTATTCAGTGATACAGATGAAATAATTACTTAAAACCCTCGTCTCTTGTCTGACGTTCATATGTGCGACATACGCTGTAGCAGACAGGGGTCAGAATCACTAGACGTGACAGTCTGTGTGGTGACTTGGAACACTTCTCAGCCAACAGGTGAGGATTCGGTTGACCGGATGAGTACGATTTTCTCCTTCTTCGAGTGGATACTGAGCATTATAAGTCCGAGCTCCGAGGATTCGGAAGATGTGCAGCCAGAGCCGATAGACCCTTCCAAATGCGAGCCGTGTAGTGAGTACCATGTTCCTCTGCACGTCCTGGAAATATATACTGTACGACGGACGAACTTAAGACTAGTTATGTGAAATAAGAGATTCAAACAATCTCAGTGCAAAGAAAGGTTGTTTTCTTAGTTTTAATTCCGAGCGATGAATGGAACAAAAATTTCCAGTACATTAACGACTTATCCTCGAAGTCGGGAGCGCTTCAACCACCGAAACGTCGTCTATATCAAATATGTCTCATTGTCGGAAATAGAAATTTAATTGATTTACAGAATGCGGCCTGGCCAACAAGAAGATACGTATTGTGGGCGGTCACGAAACGCAAGTGAACCAGTATCCCTGGATGGCTCAGCTACTTTATAACAACCGTTTCTACTGTGGCGGGACGCTCATCAACTCCAAGTATATTCTTACAGCGTCGCACTGTGTCAAAGGGTACGCTTTATTGTTCCCAGGGAACAGTCATCCACTGTGGGTTCTCTTAACGTGTAAACTGCCCATTATTTGGTCATCGTCGTCGATGTTTTGACTGCTTATCTGATTTGTAATCCTGGGGTCTCGGGTTCGATTCCCGGCGGTGCCCGAATTTATAACTTGTGTTGGGCAAGGCCGTGGTCTAGGCAACACGGAGTTTTCCTCCGGGGACTTCCCCGGTTTCTCCGTGGCATCCCAACAATTACTCCATTCACACACAGAAGAAGGCAATGGCAAACCACTTCTGGATCATCTGCCAAGAACGTATATGAACAGGTCCCAGTCCGAGAAAACGATGGAAGGATCCTATTCATATGGACCTGTCGTCAGACAGAACACTAAATAAATAAATACACTCAGTAGCTTGATTGTCATGTGTCTGTTCTTCGTTATTGTCATTCAGTAACATGATCATGGGTTTGGTATTAATTAATTATTTTAATAAATACATGAATTAGAAATTCCCGTCAGACTGGAGAAAATTGCGTATTGAAGAACTTTATACACAATACGAATAATCCTTACTTACAGTTAGAGTGATCAAATCAAGGAGAATGAGATTGACGGGGCATGTAGCATGAACGGGAAAATGGAAAAGACCTTTTGTCTCCATCAGGACCCTATAAGTTACACTGCACAACATCCCGAAAGGCAGCCATCTTCAAAATCGTTACCGTGTGAACCTGAAATCTCACATTCTTTACATTGTTTTGGTAAAATCCGTGTGTCTACTAACCTGACCGGGCTTGTGTTGTGTAGGTTTAACCGGAAAAATATCGTCGTAAGGCTGCTGGAACATGCACGAGGTATCAGCAACGAGACCGAAACCATAGACAGGCGAGTGCAGCGCGTTGTGATACACAGTCGGTATGACTACACTACATTTAACAACGACATTGCGCTGTTGAGCCTCGACCGCGACGTGGCGCTGGAGGACCGTTTGCGACCTGCCTGCCTCCCAGCTCTAGGTAGGCTTACATTTTCGATATCAGTCGACATAAATTACAATATCGATATATCTACCAAATTCTAATTTACCTTCAGGTTTTCCGACTGAAATTCTGTATGCCCCATGTTTATTTGACCTCAACCTGCTTGATTTTATAATTCTAAAAACGAGAGTAGGTAGATAAAAGCTTATTTAAAACAATTAATTCCAAAGTTTACACTGCCGATTGAGAATTATTCGTATCAAATAATTTCATGCGGAAATTTAAAAACGTTTAACTTTCCTAACTCTGTAGAATATAAATGGACTCTCTACTCAACGTGTACCTTCGTTTTAAGTAGGGCTGTACCTTCATGTCTGTAATGAAAGTGGAAACAAATTGGTTTAATGTGCCTGTCGAAACGCTGAAAGTGCATGTATATCTCGATGGCAGGCAGGAGCTTCACTGGGATGCAGGGAGTGGTTATTGGTTGGGGCACGACGGAACAATACGGTGGCTCGTCTGACGTACTGAACGAGGTGAAGGTCCCCATCATGTCAAACAAGGAATGCAGGATGACTCCTTACGGTAACAAGGCTATCACGGAAAATATGATGTGTGCCGGCTTCCCTGAGGGCAAGAAAGACGCCTGTCAGGTAAGCATAAGTTGGGAGTTTGTCAAGCGATTTGAGATTCAAAAATTAACGCTTTAAAAATGTATTGGTTTTGATGGGGATGAGTAATTATTTAAAATAAAAGTAACGCTTTATCTTCTGAAATGAATTAGTGACTTGAGTAAAAATCTTTCTATGCAATGTTTGGAATGTCTCCATGTTAAAAAGGGTAAACGTAGACGTAGCGCGGTGCTGTTTTATGTAGACAATTCATAAGACTTGATTGATTGAACTGGTGGTTTTGACTGTCAGTAATTACTGCTGACGTGAAGTCTATTAGAGACTAATTATTATTCGTCGTCGTTGCTTATTTATGGTTTATTTAACGACGCTTCCAGTTAATTAGAATATATATTAATGAGCAATGACCTGAAAAAGATATGGAATGAAGTTTTCGTCACCTAATTTAAGATATTTTATGGAGTAACCGAGTAAAAAACAACCAAAAAATCTGTTAGGGTTAGCCGGTCTCCTGTCTGAATTTTTAACCCTGGACCTCCACAGCGCGAATCAGGAGTACCTGTGGTAGTGAAATAACTGGGTATAACTGTGCTGTGTAAAATACACCAGTCACGGGAGCAAAATATTTCTGGTCTGACCTGTAGGTGATATTTGCAAGATTTTGATTCGTATTAGAAAGCTTAAGCGCCACAGCAGGCACTTTAGATGGCCACAGTTCCAAATTTCTGGTTTTTTGCAGGGCGACAGCGGAGGACCGTTGCACGTTACCAATGGGACTCTGTACAGCGTTGCTGGTAAGTTGATATTTCTAAGCAATCGTCATCGGACATGGTCTTAGTCTTGTGTATAAAATCCTTTGGCGCAGTATTATCCGTTTCTCCCTATATTTGTCTACATTTGAAGATTTCTGTCTTCTGGGTTGTTGCGCTGTGTAGTCTGGTCAATGTTAACCAACTTTTCAGAGGTCATCAGGGCGATAAGAACTCTTCATACTCACCGCTGTGAAAACCTCAAATCTTACATTGTCTACATTTATTTCCTGGTTATTACGTGATAATTACAAGTTTGAAGATGGCTCTCTTCTAGGTTGTAGCGCCGTCTAGTCTGGTAGAAGTTTACCAACGTTTCAGATGTCCTTACTGCCTCCATCGTCAGGGCGATAAGTACTTTGTTAAATTCTACCAGACTACACAGCGCTACAGTCCAGAAGACAGCCATCTTCGGACTCAACGCCGTGAAAACCACAAGTCAACTTAATTACAAGTTTTATTGCTTGGCTAAGTTTAATTAATAAAGCGATTAGTGTGAGGTGCCAAGACGGTAAATAATAGAGAATTGTTCGATAAGAGTGTGTTGAATGATATAGTCATAATTAATAATATTTATTTTAAAAAATCCCGTGCGGAGAACGAGCTACTTCGCCAACATTTTACTAAACACTCTTCAAATGGATGAATAAATTGACGAATAACTGAATAAATTCCTGATATTTTGAGTGAATGAATAAATAAATGACAATGATAATATTTTACGATAATTGTTATTTTGTGCGGAAACAACAAACGTGGAATACAGTGACATATGGATTGCAGGGGTCGTGTCTTGGGGCGAAGGGTGTGCCCTGCCCAATCACCCGGGTGTGTATACTAGGGTGAACCGATACATCTCTTGGATCAAACGAAACACGATAGATTCTTGCTTCTGTGAATGAATATCACGCGTCATCTAGTCATTCCAGATTTGTGGATCGTCACACGCTTCACACAGGTCAAGGGTCACAGATTATTTATTGTTCATTGTTGACTTGCTGTACATTATGTTATCAGTACAAAGATATTCAATAAAACAACTCACCACTGTCGACATTATCAGCATTTTAATCTTGAACCCATTGTAACTCCGTAAGGAGTACCGTGCTGAGCAGTCACCGGTATTTTTTTTTCTGCTACGTTCAGATGGTCTCTGGGGCCCAAACATTTTCTGTCCGATGGATACCAGGAGCTCTTTACGCCAGAGTACACTCACTGAACTAGAAGCTTACCACCCATCTCCTTACAGGGTTAAAAATGCTTGGCGCTAATACGCCTTTGTGGTGTGGCGTTTAATGAGACACAGCTAGAAGTTTATCTTTTTATGTACACCATGACTGAAACGGAGTGACTGTTAAATTATGTGTAGAGCCAACTACTGGAAACTTATGTAGGTTTATGTTAAATATAGCTCAGAAATGGATAACACCCGAAGTACTAATGTCACACATCTTAACAGATTCAGTATTATTTTAAATAATTAAGAAACTCTTCTCTTGTGTGAAGGTCTGTGTTAGTATTCTCGAAGAAATTTTTCTCATTTGCATAGAGTTCCGAGTCCATTAGCCTGAAAGAAAATAAAGTTGGCCTTTATGCTCCTTTACTTCCTGATTTGTTACTTCTGATCGAGTGTGTGAAACTCCGGTAAAACCCATAAAATAGTGGCTGTCATTCCAATAATATAGATATTTCGTAAATGTGACGTATTTTGATGTATAACACCATGAAGCAACTTATGGTGCACGAACCAGGTTTTTACGAAGTTGGCGGCTAAATAAAATGTTCTCTGTGGTTATTCTCAACTAATTAGGTCCATAGAACTAAGTACTTTTAGAAAATCTGATAACCGTAAACTGTTCAAGAAATGTCATGCCATTTATGGAACCAAAATGTTCATTATAGTGTTCACAAAAGCCGCTGTCGAATCCTATCCTGTCCACAGACTCACAACTAACTGCTTTAACATCCACTTTGATATTGTCCTGCCTTCTACGCTTAGGTTTTCCAACTGTTCTGTTTCCTACAGGTTTGCCGGATGAAACGTCTTTGCTTTTATCATCCCCCCCCACCTCCCATGTTCTGCCCATTATCCTTATTCGAAAAAACGGCAGATATGAAGCCAAGGAAGAAATGAATTCGTCCTCCAAAATATTTCCTGTTTACTGGAAGTTTACTCGGTCCATGTTACACCGGTTGAACTACAGTTTTTATTATAAATGAAATTTAAAATAGACCATATTCTTTACACCGTTAGCATCTACACTGGACTACGATATTTTTATTTTAAATTGACCTACACATTTCATAATATTTTATTTTACTTTAATGAGTAAAACTATGACATTTTAGTTTAATCGAAATTTCTTATTATTAAAATAAATCGATGAACCATGAACAGATTACAATAAAATACAATAATATTAAGAAGATAAATTTTAAATTATTTTTGTTATCATTGCCCCTTTTTTGAAAACTCAGAAATGAGCCTTCTTACAGAAGTCTTGTATAATGACTTTAATGCAGGTAATGCACAATTGTGCGATTGTTTGGGTGGGAAATATATTACACAGATATATCTTAAAAATCCCTGGAATCCAGGCAGTAAATTCCACCAACTTTTAACGTATCCCGTTACTCGCAGTGGACTTGGAGCCCTCACCCTTCTCAGCGCTCGGCTTCGATTCGTCCGCGGTCGCATCGTCCCGCAGCCAAAATATTTCCATCTCCCCTTTTCCCTGAGGAAAATAAAGCAGCGTGATTATATACAGAAGAAAACTACGTGGGACAGGTAAAATGTTTAATTAAACTTGAGATTCGTCTTTGGTATGTACAAAAAGCAGGCAACACAAATCATGAGCTTTCTGTTTGTATGGAAACAATGATTTTTAATATTTTACAAATCTCAAAATTGGCGAAATATCAGTTTTATCCAACTCAGTGAGTCATAAGGCCTATCTCTTTTGAGATGACGGTTAAATAATCAATGAAATCATAAGAAAGTATTCCCGAAAATTAAATGAGATATTTTGTTTGCACGTGATGTCGAAAATTAACTGAATAATTTCGAAATTGAAGATGACTCTCTTCTGGGATATTGCATTGCGTCTTGTGGTAGATACTGATCGCCGTTTCATATAAGCTTGCTGCTTCTATCGTTATGGTGTGAAACCGGTCAGTACTGACAACTTACTGTTAATAAAATAAAATATAAATACTACGAGGCTGCTGTGTACATACCTTCACTGTAACGAGACCCCTGGGTTCTATGATATATCGATCAGGAAGCAGCTGCCGTGTGGTTGTTGATATATTAATCTTACCAGGCTGAAAGTGAAGCAAAGCAATCAGCTGTTTACAGAGGGGACTCTATGGAGGGAAGAACGGGACTTGTTCTGGTTAGGTATTCAGGGGGTGGGGGGGAAGACAACGGCCAGGATATTACATTATATTACAAATAAAATTTTATCTGCATCAGTGGTTATCACACTTGCTTCGTATCTAAGAGATAACGCTTTCGAATGTTGGCCCCAAGGCCATGTCACTCTGAAAATTTTATAATTACCTCCCAAGAAAACCCTAGATTTGTTGTACCTTAAAATAAGCCATTTTACTAATCACAACTGCCACACCGCTCAGTGCTATATGACTTCAAAAATTTTGTATCCATCTACAGTAGATCATAATCCCATCAAGGACACAAAATCATAACTTTTTATACGTATATACCACGGAAGAAAGTTAATATTGAGTCCATAATGGAATTTAATTATCATGGTAACTTTGGGGTGACAAAAATAGCCCAGTCAGAAAAGTGACTAAGCTGTGGGATGGACGATGGGGGTTTTATTCCCGGCAGGACAGGATCTTTGTCTTCTGCACAGCGTCCACACAGGCCTGGGGTCCACCCAGCATCTTGTCTATAGGGTACCGGGGCTACTTCCTCGGGGTTAAAGAGACCGAGAAGTTAAACTGACCATCCATCTGAAGTGTTACGTGCGGATGGCTATATACGTCTTATTGGCTTATCCTGCCTTCTTTTGGGATAGAAGAGAGCTACGTTCTAACTGCGTAATGACTCTTAGATTATTATGACAGGCTACTCACCAGGCTTGTGGTTTGCATTCTGGCTGCGGTGTTGACTGTGTCTCCAAAAAGGCAATACCGCGGAACCTTGAGGCCCACGACTCCAGCAACCACAGGGCCCGAATGGATTCCTGTCGTGCAGAGGAGTTTGAAATATAGGAGACACTTTTCAGAGGCAAGGCGATTTTTTAATTAGGACGCGGGTTCTGCTATGAATGGAATCTGAGAGCGCAAACTCATTGCTTACCTTATTACCAACATGAAAGCAATCTTCAGCGAATGAGCAACATTTGATCTCTTTTCTATGTTTGTATAATTTAGTTTTAGATTCGGATGTTTATTTTGAGTGGTTATGAAATATTTTTATTTAAATGTCACATGTAGGCTAGTTTCTATAATGTTAATTTGCATATTTAGACTTGCTAGTAATAATTCGATTTATAGACTATTCTTTATACCGAACAGTTTGAAACAGACGAGGTATCGGTCCTCAGAAAACAGCTGTTCTGCCTTTCTCTGAATCATGATCGTAATCGCTCGTTTCCGGATTATTTAAGGACACTGTTACAGCTGCAAAGAATATATAGCGTTGAATTGTGTGAGAAGGTATCATACATGGCGAGTTGTTAAGGGCTTTCAAAGCATTACTAATGGTTTTTGTAAAGAAAACTCACCGATTCTAATCTGCATAGTGATTCCTGAGGGGAATTTGAGTTGTTTTACATGCCGCAGCAGACACAGTGCGACATCGGCTACGTTCTCCGCGTGCTGGGGGGTGTATTCTGGCGCCCCGCTCACTGCCATGTACACCTGGCCCACAGTTTCCACCTGGACAAATTATACATGCATAAGTGGGGTTTAGAAATGATTATATTAAAAACTTGAATTCATTTATTCTTATTGATTATTGACCGTTTTAAATTTGCATTAGTAATTATGGTTCACTTGGTCTGTGACTCTAAGGGGAGAAAACAGATTAAGGATGTTTAGAACAGGATGATAAGGAGAATATTTGAACCGAAGACCAATGAAGTTTTTTTTTTCGTATCCAGTACACACCTTTCAGCATGGTGTGCATTGGTGGTTAGCAGGATTCACGACCCATCAGTACATGGGTTCGACCGGGACCGCGACATTTAACGCTCCTGCTGTGACCCTCTTTTTGTGAGATGATGATGATGAAAGTGGAGTAATTGTTGGGATGCCACGGAGAAACCCCGGAGGAAAACTCCGTGATGCCTGGACCACGGCCTTGCCCAACACAAGTTGTAAATCTGAGCACCGCCGGGAATCGAACCCGGGACCCCAGTATTACAATCCCAGCGTTCTAACCGCTAGACGACCGTGACACCAATGAAGTGAGAGGAACGGAGAAAGAGTTTCATAATTTTACTCTTCTCCGGATATTATTAGGATGATTAAATGAAAGATAAAATAGGCAGGCATGTAACACGCATGGCGAGACGGTAAATGCATACAAAATATTAATAGGAAACCCTGAAGAGAAAAACATTTGGGACGCAAAGGCGCAGAGAGGCGGGTGCCACTCAAATTTATCTTAAAAAGCAGAGTGTGAGGATGTGAACGGATACGTGTGGCTCAGGATGGGTTCCGGTGGTAAGATCTTGTGAATGCGGTAATGAATCTTCAGTATTACTGATTGCTGAACTTGTCGCGTGCAAGAAAGTAATACGGATTACGTGTTAAATGAGTTTATGGATGAGAGTTCTCTTTTAAAAGCTGATTGACCATGTCCAATGTAATAGCAGTGCAATTAAACATTTATATTATCATTAGAGTTATAAGTTATTCATAAAATGATACCAAAATTACTGCGTTTAACAGTTTGTTGAAATTTGTGTTTCAGTGTACGGTACACGCTGTGACCAGAATTACGTTTATTAATTTATATAATTAGTGATTATTGCACGCATTTTCACATTTTCTGTTGAGAGCTTTACATACATGAAGTTTTGAATTGTGTAGGACTGTGAATTACCAATGCCATAAAGTCGTTGTCTATATTTAGAATTGATTGTCGAATAAATTTATTATGCGTACCTTGTATACGTTGTAACGATCCATAAGGGCGTCGAAACAGGTAAAAACTGCGTTCATACTCATAACAACGTCCATGGCGTCTTGGACTGTTGAAGAACTGAAGTCCACCAGTTCGCAGAAGAGGATGGAAACTGCGTCAAACGACTAGAAATAAATGCAATAGTAGAGTTGCAAATACTTTTGTTAATCCTTTACTTAATTTATATGAAGTCAAACGATGTCTCTACGCCTAGCGTATTGCGCATGGGTGAGATGAGACACGTACATCGAAGTTTAGTTAGAATATCTGAAAGGAAGAGGCGATCAGTGATAAACTTCGGAACTTTTCCGTACCTGGCACGTACTGAGGGAATTCTTTTCGGTGCGAAGCCTGTCTGCCACCGACTGAGGAATCATTGAGTAGAGCAGTTCGTCACCCCTTCGCTTCCAGCAGTCCAGTAGAGTGTAACTTCTCTCCAGTTCCGTAGACCGCTGCTCGGCTCTCTCGAACATCAGCTCCAATCTGGTGGCACACACACACGTCATATATTTGTCACCTTTGTGATAGTTCAGTGGACTATCAACACTTTCCATGCTATGGACGAGTTATGTCGTTTTGAAGCTGACCATTGTTTCCACCCCCATGTCTTTCGTGTGTGGCATTATTAGTGAAAAGAAACCCGCCCTTGACACGTGGAGATAACCATTAAATATAGGGAAATGTTCTTAATGTTCCATGATGTTGCTCCGCTGAGTTTGTCTGCTCAACTCAGAAACTATTGCATGGGCGTTGTGACTTCTAAACCTAATGTAGACCTAACAAATGTAAGGGGAGTTGTATTAACTAAAAAATTAACTAAAAAATTAACTAAATCTGGAAGCTCCTAATTTGATAACTAATTTCTTATAATAATACTATTTTGCACCTTATAACAGTCATCTTATTACAAAGCTGTGGTTCAGAATTCTTAAGATTCTGATGCACAGGACTGTGACTGCCATTGTGGGATCTCCGTACGCTGCGCTACGGATAGTTTCCATATCCGGTCTTCGCGATAATCATGTCCTTACCTGGAACAATGCTGCCATCCAGCTAAAACCATTTCACGACTCAGGCCGTGAAGGTTGAGGTCGTTTAAGTACAATCCCATGTTCGGAAGCTCATCCATATTGTTTATTCTATAAACGAAGAATTGCACAATTAGTTGCATTTATTAGCGCTTTGTTTAATCAGTTTAAACCACACCAACGCTTCAAGTAAGATAAGAACCGAGAAGCAAAACTGTGACCGCAGAATGCATCACAGCCTTCTCGCTTAGTTTTCAGTTCTTAGTGATTTCTTGTGGCATAAATACGCTTCCTGACTGTGATCTGCACCCGGGGTAATTCAGCATTTGTCAATGTCGCTAGAGTGTAATCTTTGTTACGGGGTGGATAAATTTCCGTCGGACTTAAGAGATAAAATAGGAGTTTTAAAGAGTTATTTCTATGACTGTGCACCTAATCATAAAGAAATATGGAATGTAATGGTCCCGCTAGATTTTCTGTTTATTTATCTACTTAAGGACGTTTTCTGAACGACATAACCAGCGTCTATTCAAGATAATTTTTAACAATGAAAGGGAAAGATATGCAAGGAAATGGTTTTGACTATTTTAAGGCATTGTTTAGTGTTCTCCTTATACAGAGTGATGGAAATACTCTGTCAGGAGAGACAGTAACTGGGAGGATAATCGTACCCGGGACTTTCGGACCACGAATCATTAATTTTACCAACTGAGCAGTAACATCCGGTCATTGGTTCCGTACGTCACCATCATTGTCTCACACGTGTTTGAATTCCTGAAGCGTGGCGATCTTGAGACCTAGAGAGCAACTCGTAGCTGTGAAACGTATTGCTCTATTCTTTAGTATTTTGTGGTCAATGACTTACAGTGGGCTGCAAAGGAAGATGATCGCTTTGATGTCGTCGATATATTTCATTTGTCCCTTAAGCAGGATACTGCGTGTACCCTGGCTGCCTCGCCGTCGGTCCAGGAAAAGAGGCAGTGCTGGCTTGTTCTTAACGTCCACATCAGCTGTGCCCTTGTCATCTTCCGCCCTCGGTGTCCGGATCAGTTCAAGCTCGAATAGCACGGAATGCAGGTACAGGGTCTGCGTCACAACGTTATCGACAAGAAATTCGATTAGAAAGAGGCTATCTTTTGGGTTGTTACGCCATGTGGCCTGGTAGAAATTCTGCCTGACTACTCGGCGCAACTATCGAGAAGATGGCCGACTTCATACTCGCCACTGTGAGAACCTGCTAACTCACCAAGAAATTTAATAGAAAGGTCCAATTTATATACAAAGGAGCACACTTGTTACTAACACCGCTAAATAGTTTCCCTTAAAAATGTATATATCCCACTTTTTATCGAAACCCAAGGCACCGTGTTTATAAAAGTCCGCCATTTTATTCCGTCTTGGGCCACGTTATTCCAGACCACATCCTCACTCCATATTTATCAATGTCCCACTCCAATATTCTTCTCCCATGAATGCTTAATACCCCAAATGGTCTCTTTCCTTCAGAATAGCCGACCAGAATGTTGTATGATTTCCTCATTTGACTCATGCGTACTCCATGTACTACCCATCATATCTTACTATCTTTAATTCTCCCCACGTCAAATGTATTTGCCTATTAGTGTATGTTCAATTCAGTCACACATAGGGCGACTCTAAAATGTTTTTGCTGGGTCAAAATTTCGATGGAGAACACAATATGAAGCTCTCGAAAATCTTAGTACTGTGTCGTTATGTGTGGGTTTACAACATTCTGTGTTCCTGTATTGGAGTGGCCCAGGTTTTGTCAACTGCCTCCTAAAGCGTCTCGTAGTCCTTTTGTAAACTCATATAAACAATCCACGTAAACCAATTCTATTCAAGACCCACGTTTGTGATTGGTCGATGATGTAATAATTCGATGTGACCGTAGTCCGTTTAAAATTAAGGCGGCTCAAATTTAACTTAGTTGTCTACAATTTATTTCCGTGAAGCGTTGTGGTCTCTGAATTATCACTGTCCCCTAAATTCGTATAACATTCGTTTTTCATTGCCAGAAAGTTGTCAGAGAACAAGAGTGGAATGAATTCTAAGAGCTGCTTGTTTAACACAGGATGCATAACAAATTTTATATACGAACAAATAATAGGTGAGCGTTTGTCACTTTATTGCTCAGCAATGTAAAGTTTACGACATTATAATTAAAATTTAAATATAAAACCCACATTGTAAACGGATCTAGAACGTAAGAAAGTTGCTAGACGCAAAGTTTCAGAAATATGTAAATCTAAAGCTTTGTTTTATTCGACGGAAAAGAAGTAAAGAAATTGAAAACTGTCTCTCACATTTTTCCAAGTGAAGGGAATTCCTCTAGGACGCCGTAGCTTGAAGTTGTCTATGACGGATTTTCCTAGGAGATCATCTGGACTTGTGCCGCACACTTGAACGAGCTTTTCCCCGGCTGCCAGGATGCACATGTCCTCATTGAAGACAAGGCCGAACGGAAAGAGACGCATGAGTAATGAACAGGGGACGGCAGGCAGGGTGAGTCTCTCCAGGTGTGTCCGTTTGTCAGCCCGCGACAGAACAAACTCCTGATTATCGAAATTGAGTCGGAATCTGACCAGGACTTTCCTTGTGCCCGTAACGGATGTCGTTTCCTCTAGCACGTTGATGGACAGTTGCGTGTTGTATAATTCTTCAGCTATCTGGTACAGTTGACCTGTAAGAAGCGAATACTATTTTATGACTGTGGTCCTTTCAAAATATTGCCATGTGAACGAATTCTTATTCGAGGGCGATATTTAATTCCAGTGGTACAACCCTTAAAACATAACATATGCAATTAGCACTGCCTTCTTGTTTATTCAATTAGTATTACTCAGGAATGAAATGTTTATATTTATAGGTGTAAGTCACAAAAAATAATGAGCGTGAAGGATTAGGAGAATCGATGTGATGGTGAGTCGGCAGGTAAATATTCTTACCGTCGATGTCATCAGTCTTGGCGCTCTAAAGTTAAATAAGAGTTAGGCAATGTGATGCAACACTTCAAACTTATACAGGCTGTTACAGAAGGGGGCGAATTGAGGAAGAAAAGCTGTTTTATTTTATACTTTTCTTATATTTTAGAACATGACATCATATGATTATGCCAGTGTCTTTAAAGTACATATTCTGACCTATAGTTATTATAACATTTATAAAAAATATTTGTCGTCAGCCATCTTCACAAATTTATCTCCTGGTTACAGTCGCAGAGCCGAAAATTAAAAGTGTCAGAAGTAGCTAATGCTGTCGATTATTTGAAGGAGCTTGTCCTTAACTGAATTTTTCTATTTTCTTTTTTACCTCGAGAGGGAAATTCGTGTTATTGGATGGGTGATAAATGAAGTGCCTGTTAGTAAGAAGATACCAGCCACCCCGTTAACGTCTTAGAGACATGTTCCATAAATCTTCACGCTATAATGTGAGAATATATGAGAAAAACAATAAATACTGCTTCCTAATTAACTTGAAAAAGTCATTAATATAGACAGCTGAGTATAGCAGCAGAACACTAGTGATTTATCTATAAAGTATTTTGCTTGAATCTCAGAATCGGTAACTTCATACACTGTTATTTCCCTAACTCTTTCTAAGCTACTTCCGAAATAGTTTTACGTCATTCTAAGCCCTTAGGTAACGCTCACGACATTTTGTTGCATTTTAAATATTACTTCAGACTGCACTGTATGGATTTATGCTATTTAAGAAACGTGTTTATTTGTAGTATACTGATTATTTACTTCTTGACTAGACATTCAGTAGAATTATAGTGTGGGGAGCCTATTATATTCGCGATAAATCCATAAACATAAATTTTGAAGGGATGTTTCACTGTACAGTGTGGTAGATGTTCACCGACGTTTCAGAAGAGCTTACTGCCTCCAGCTTCGGGTCGATGATGATGTAGACATGCTGCTGCAACCATGGTAATTAACAGTTGGGTTTAATGAAAGACGAATTTATTAAAGTGCTAAGTGAACACAGCTGAGCCTAGATATTTAGAACTGTATAAGGGGGTGAATCATAATTACACATAGTCCACTTTTGTACGGAATACTGCTGTTCGTGTTAAAATGATAAATGCGTCTCCAGAGGGGAGATATAATAGTGATTCACAGAATAGCTTTTTTTTAAAATTTTATCGAACCTTTTGTCCTCTATAAAGGGAATGAATCAAGCGAAGAAAAGAAGGGGTCTCAAGTAAGTTTTTGTTCGGCGCCCACTGCTGAGGAACTGTTGTGTTCGATCTCCGTTTCACGTAAAAAGTTTCAGATCATGACCGGCGTGTGGAATGGCAGACAGATAGGAATAAGTCCGTCTTTACTTTTATGAAATACAAGTCATCGCGCCTTTTTGTGGCTATGAAGAACAGACACACAATTTCTTATAAAAATTCGCGGCACACATAAATCCTTGGCGGCACGGCCGTTGCGGAACATTGGCTTAGTTCTCTCAACCGAGTTTCACTTTGAGGTTTTCTGACTAAAACTACCATCTTCCAAATTCGTGCTACATGTCATATCAATGTCACCTTCCATTTTATTGATCACTATAATAACATTAGGCATTATGAAATTCATTATGTGATTTTCATTATACTCCTGTTCCTCTATCTTGGGTCAAAATATTTTTACAGAAGTTTGTTATCAAATAACCGTAATATTATGAAAGAGAACTATTAACACTCCACCAGATGTTCATCTGTTGCTTAACTAAAATTCTGGCTTCATATTCCACTGAAATTTAGGTTTAATCTCTTTTTTTACTGGGTAGGATTCATGTGAAATAGCCCCATTTATCACCATTAGTATTAAAGTTCTGTTTGTCGTGAATTCGTCATTCAAACAACATCAAAGCAACGTAATCCGAGTAATTCTACAGCTTCTCACCCATTCGACCATATGCGTCTGATAAACGTAGCGGAACTTCATAATTCTTATAACATAAAAACATACTTCAAATAAATATGTGCATTGGTTACTCGTTTTAGTTCCATCACAAAGCTTTTAGTCAATGTTTAGAAAGACAGTAATAAATGCTTATAAGCTCCCGGTAAGAAACTCTCAAATTAAATTATAACTATTATAATATTCGTATTCTGATGAAACTGTAGATCCTGCCCATAACCTAAAATTGTTATAACAAAATACTACGTAAGATATCAGGTTCTCACGGCGGTGTCAAGATGTCTGTCTTCTGGGTTGTTGCGCCGTGTAATATGGTAGATGTTTACCGACGTTTCAGAGATGTTCGACGCCTCTTTAATCAGAGAAATCATCGCCCTTATGATGGAGGCAACAGGTACCTCTGAAACGTAGCTAAACGTCTACCGGACTACAACCTAAAAGACAGCCATAATAAAAAACTGCCACGTGCTTGTCCTTTCCAGATAACGAAGAATATTCTCCTCATCGCGACACCAGTTGTCTCTTGGTTCGAGGCAAATGGGAGTGAAACGATGTATGGCGCATGCGATCCGAGTCTGGTATCAGAAACGTGTTTTTGATGAGCTAGGTTGGCCGGGCCTGCGTGTAAGAACACCGCAGCAATCCACTTTGTGACTTCCCAAGGGACAGAACGACAGAATACAGGCAAGGTCACTGCTGTAATTACCGACATTAATTAAATAGTGCCCGTCTTTGGTTTTGTAGAAGCGATGTAATTTCAGAGGAGGAATGGATTTTGTGGCAGAAAACTTTGTCTACTGGAAATTTGTATTCAACCTCGGAAGCTTTCAGAACCTGTGGCGTTCATGATTTAATTTATATTCCTCATTCTGAGTATATGGGAAGCGTCTTCTTCTACGGGGATGTATGAAGATCTCAGTGGGGATGAATCATTAATCGTTCTGAATCACAAATGTTACCAACTGATACGCGGTACTTATTTAAGGAAGCTATAAATTTAAGACTATATGGCGTCAAATGATGAGTAACGAATAATGAATTGGAAAGGACATGGAAGGAAGCGGTTGTGGTCTAATTTGAGGTATTATACCGGCGTTTGTCTGGACGGGATGGGGAAATCCACGGAACATTCAATCAGATTAAGCTGTTTCGGTCTGAGATTTGAACCGGTATCTACCGAATATGAAGCAGGAGTACTAACCATTTTGTTGTGTCGTTGACTGAGAATAGAATTTCTCACCTTTCCAAATCATATTTTTTTTAAAAAAATGTTGATGCTGTAGGCCAATAATCTGATCAGTTTAATAAACCACAAATAAATGCCTGTTATTATAAATGTTTTGCGTATGATCGGACAAAAGCACAGACATGGGGGAGGCTGGCTGTAAAGAGAGTGGCTGACAGATATAACTTGTCTTTAAAGGGTTTTTTGGGCAACAGGTACTTAAATTTTGGAAATAAAATGTGTAATTGTTCTGAATGCGGGATTATCATTTGTCTTAGACACGTAGTAATTATCAGGCATACTTGGGCCTTCGTTTACACCTGGGGGTAATAAAAATTATATAATGGACAGTCTTTGAAGTACTTACCCATAAAGTAGTGGACAAAGCCTTTTCTAGTGCTCCTGTACACCAATACGACGCCCTGTGGGTCTACGTGTGTGATGTACATGGATGGACTCTTCATCTTGGGATACGTGAAACGCATCTGCATGTGGATATTGTCCACATTCTGTAGGAAGTCCGAAAAGTATCGTCCAGTTGCTTTGATCATGAAATCATAACTGTAATAGCATTTCTATATAAGTGAAGTGTTGAGACTGTCATTAGGCAGGTTTTTGCCTAGCAGGTCTAATACAATACGTAGTCCACTGTTTTCGGAAGATTATCTGGTCTTGAAATTTTAAATAACCAACATCTTTAAAATGGCTTTATAATATTTATGGATACATAAATGCACCCACATGGGTGTTTTAAATAAACGTCAAAAGACCCATGTCACCCTATTTAAAGATGTTAACCCTCACCATAGACCCAGGGATTCTATGAGATCTGGGGCACGTATGAGGCATTGATTATGGCTACCAATAAGCTGAGAAGACAACTGATATGTAGAATCTTGGGCTAAGTTAAAGGGTTGCACAAAAGATCAGAAATGGTCACTGCACAAGGATCTGTTAGGCGCCCACGGCATTAACATACATGCATACGTGAGCGTTAAATAGCGAATAATTTTTTGGTAGGACTATTATTAGAAGAGGAATGCAAAGCTAGCCTTATTTGCCTTGGTAAAGCAATTACGTTTTTTGCTACCGTATAATTTAAAGGCTATTTAGAAAATTTGTGAGTAGTAAATTACTGTACTTTTAAATAGGACAACGTGGTACCATGCAAACGTTTAAATAGAGAATGATGAAAGTTAAATTGACATGCAATTAAAGGTGCAGTCCTTATAATGCGAAATTGTAGACACGTCGTCAAAGTTAGAATTCTTAACAAAATAATTTATAGGATTATTTTCACAGGCAAACGCCTGCTTAATTCTTTGAAGTTGAAGATCGCCCAAGCAATTCATCCCGTAGAGCAAAGAAAATACATCTCATATCCATTTTGAAGATCACCTGGTTAATGGTGTTTACACTGACAAGGAGAGGTCACCAGACTTGAGTCGGGGATTTGAACGAAAAAAGAATCGATGGAAAGTAGACGGAAAATAAGTGGGCACAATTCGTTCAGTGCGCCTTAGTTTCTACTTTCCGTTGATCCATTTTCGTTGAATTCCCTGATCCCACTCTGATGACCTCTCCTTGTGAGAATCACATGAAGCCCTTAAATACAACATACAGAACTACTGATTTTCAAAGAAGATGGTACATATATTTTTCACTGCGCCTTACTGTTTTAATATAAACTTATATTTTACTTAACAAGCTTATTTATGAAGCCTTGAATTTCAGTTTCCAAGTGACCAAATGCAAGCAATCTTCGAATTAAATCATGTTTTAAATTATCATAAATCTAATAATTTCACTCTAATTCTTGTTTCAATATGTTCATGGAAGTGTGGAGGTATTTTGTACAACATATCATGTGTTTGCCCTGTACCCGAAGTTACTGAAGAAGCGCACGAAACAGCGACCGAAGAACTGCATGAAGTGGTCTTTAGTTGCGCCCTCCCCGGTGACTTCAGCGCAGGCTACTGCCAGGCTCGTTATCAGGTGGTCGGGATAGATGTGGTGAGTGTTGAATACGGCAAATTTACAACCTGCCTGCTCCATCACTTGCTGCCATATCTCTTCCCCGTATTCCAGCTGCAACATTACGGAACTCAGGTTAAGAACGTCGGTCGGATTTAGGTTCGGAGTGTCACCTTTCTTATGACTGCGTCTGCTAGTTACGGATTCAACAGACCCTGCTCACCTTTAAGAACAAAAAATATATTTCTGGTGGTGAAATTACTTTTGCAACACCTCATAAATGATTGAAGGAAGTTAGAGGCCAATTTCTTAGTTTGATTTTTATAGACAGTAAATTATAAAGTAAGGTTTTTAGTATGATAAATTTCATAGGTTTGTGGTTATATTTTAACAAATTTCCTTTAGTTTTTTTTCCGATGTTGATAGCTATTCTTACATTACACGCTTCTTCTATTTCTGTCTGTCCATTCCTATCCCAGCTGCCATAATGTATCATTCCTCTTGACCGACTTCTTACTTCCGCTATCACGCACGTTCTTCTTATATCACAAACAGCTTAAGCGGAATAAACAGCATGTCTAGTTCCTCCCTTAGAAAGGTCTCAGATGATAAACGTGATTTTAACGACGAAAATGAAGGAAATCAATGTAGCACAGTATCATAACTGTGAATGGATGTTCTAGATACAAGAAAAAGCTCAAATTCAGATCTAATGACCGCTACACTGGGATATTGGGAACGACCCGTTCTTCAAGTGCCTGAGCACTGCGGGTCCCAACTTTTCAGTTGGCTCGATCCATGGACATTCGGTAGGACTCCTTGGACGAGGGATCGGCCCGTCGCAAGGCCTCTACCTGTACACAGGACAGCACAACACAGAAAAATGCAGACAAACATCCATGGCTTGAGTGGGATTCGAACCCACGGTCCCGGCGACCAAGCGGCACGAGACCCACGCCTCAGACCGCGCGGCCACTGCGGACCCCGACCGCTACACACATTATATAAATTTAGTCATACTTTATTCCCTCTGTTTCTGTGGTGTTTCATGTAAATTGCAGCTATGAAGAGGCACGTAGAATTAGAAGAGATAATATTAACTATAAACGGTTGTTAAATTAAGATTTTTAGACGCGTTCTCAATCCTGAGAAGCTGCTTTTAAGACTTCCGTCGGTCTGTCCCCCCGTACGTATGTAACAACTAGAGAAACCTTAATGGATTTTTTGAAATTTGTTTATCAGGGAATTTTTCTAAAACGCCGACAATTTTCTACGCTCGGCATTAGGTAAAGGCGAGAGGTCAACTTGAATTGTGTATTCACCACTTACAGCCAGCTGGTTATTATCTTGGAAGGTTTTCGGACATTATTGAAGGACCTGTCATCATTTTGATACGAGTGTGAAGATTTAATGTGTTCCATATTTGGTACCCGCAACGTACAAGGTTCTAAAAGTGTGTTGCTCGTGGCACCAACACGTCGTTTACGGAAAGGCTATCCATCTGTCCATGAACAATGCACACTTGGAGCAGTGCATGCGAACGGGAAGGTTGGACACCTTCTAAATAAACATCGCTATCTGCTCTATTCACGATATGAGTTTTCATATCATGTTGTGTAATGGCTTGCTCTTAATACGACACAATCACAACCATGCGAAATTTTAACGTCAGTAACTGTAAATGTCTGTCGGATGTCCGACAAGAAATACGTACGAAATTTTGATTTGAAAGCCTGAAGGAAATAGACCACTGGGAGGAGTTATGCGCAGAAGCGAGGATGATGTTAAAATATACTTCATATAAAGAGGGTGGGAGAGTGTTGATTGGATTCATCTGGCTCATGATGGGGATCGATATCGGGCTCTTGTGAACACGGTGTTCAAATAATCTTATGCCGACTTAAAAGATTCTCGTTTACCATATTTCAGTTAACGGGTGACTTAATGCTAATCTCAATAAATTATAGATTATAACTTAAACATTTTCAGAGCTCTGGTTGTAACATCTCAGTTTTGTTTCTTCATGAAGTGATAAGCACGTATTGTCTTGTCTGTCTCTACACTTACGTCGTGAAATAGGTTATTCTAAAATGCCTGAGTAAAACTTATTTATAATTTCTTGGTTATAGATCTATATTATCTAAAGTTTAAATCTTTTATACAGAATGTTGATTTCTACTACAGATCCTTCAGGGAACAAACAATATCTATCCTTCAAAATTGTTTAATATTTATTACATCCAAATATTCTGAGATAAAGATCGCAGGACCAAATGAGTTCCGCTTTTCAAGTCACGTGCATATTATAACAATGTCAGCTCTTTCTGAGAGATTTCCTGTCATAGACAAGATTGAAGTCGATCACAATAACAGAGCAGCTGATTTGTGCACTGAGGTAACTTTTTCGAATTCCGTTCTAGGCATAATATATATACCCGCTCCGGTCTGTGTTGACCTGTGTAGGCAAAGGCCTTGCTACGGGCCTATTTTCTGTGTAACAATCAACATATTATGATTACTGTTTACAAATTTATTTTTTATATCTCGCATGTATTTGGATGTAATTTTCTCTTAAAAATGTTAAAGTTTTTCACACAGTGTAACAATCTAAGCAGCTACCGTGCCATGTAAGTGACAAATCTTATTCATTAATTTTATATTAAGAAATCAGTATTTTTACTTAACCGTGTCACGTATGAATATCATATTAATTTTATTAATTTAAAAATCCATTGAGGTACGTACATTCAGAAGCTCCAAGTACACTTGTCGGATGCATTAATATGTCTACAGTTTAGCTTTCTTCGGTTCTGTTCGAATTAATTTGCAACGAGCGTAGCGATGACGTCAGAGAAATAAAATTATGAATGCATTGTCACAAAGGTGATCGTGACTTATTTCAGTATCCTGTTTTATAACTTCCTTCGTCTCTAGAGGGAAGCTAAGAATGGGATTAAGAGGGATTATTTCGCGAGATCAATAATCGTTCGTGTAGAATGGATACGTCCCTATATTGAATACAGCAGCTATATATTATGATCGTATTTTAGCTTTCTGTTAGAAACTTATAACTTTGCCTATAGCTAAAGAAGAGTGTGTGGGTTCCTGTACATCTGATGAGGTGCCATTGTAGAGTCACGGGTTTCTTTACTACAGCTGTCTGAACTAAATCTGCAACCCTATTCAAGCACAAATGAGGTAGAGGTTTATCCTGGCACTACTCTCACGGTAACCCACATGTATCTTGGAACTGCTCCTAACAGGCATGCAGCCAGCACATTGTTCAAACAGACAAGCGTGACGAAAAAAAGACTTTGTAGTGAGGGCGAACGGTGCTTAGGACTTTCATTTACGATGTATCGTAAGTTATTTAACGACACGGTATCAACTGCAGTGGCTATAAAGCGTACAATATGAGAGGGTAAGCGCGTTTGGAGTACTTGTAAAGATTAAACAAATGTTGTGGTCTCTCATGTACAAATTCCTGCGTGCTCCTTGTGTGACTGAGGAAAATTTTAGTTAGAAGAGTCGATATCCCAGCTGAGATTCGAACGAAGCACATCCAGGTTAAAGTTTAAAGGGAAAGTAATATTTTATTAACCCTTCATAGCACAGTTGTAGCGATGTGTACCCCCCGCGTTAACATTTAGTAATTCGGTCGTTTTGCCCAGAGTGTAGGCCCATTTATCGGCTTCGTATGATTCTGCGAATAATTAACATCAACATTAACAGCGATTTCAAAATAAGTTTATTCTATTGAAGTACGTATAGTTTTCTATATATCACGTGCATCACGCTTCATAATACAGATTTAATTTCACTTGGACTTTGCTGCACTACGTCCCCGGAATTCGAAGGCGTGTATCTTCGCTATGTAAGCGTGAAGCCGGTTTGTGATGCTGCAATTATCGACTGACGTGCTACGTGTTAATTTGATTGATATTTGCGAGCTGAACACAGCCGTGAATGGGCCAGGTATGTCTACACAAATTGCATAGATTATCAAATTACATCAAACTAATGTACACGCACATCCAGATTGATGTGCTACTTGTTTTACTGGACAAAGACCGTGTAAAGTCAATACGCATAAATCGAAGACTAATTTTCCCTTGCAATTAATTATACTTGACAAGAAATTATGCGAAAAGTCATGAATTTAGATGCTTAAATTTATCTGACGACATTAGAACAAAACAGAAATTAACAGTTAATTGTACAATTTAGTAATCAGTACGTAATTTTCTGATGTCTCTTTCTCACTTCGTCTCTCTTAAGTTTAAAGATTCACCTCAACGTCCTATTCTCATATATCCTTAGTCTATCTTGCTTTACTGTTATTAAGATAATTTTTGTGTTTATGTTTTAAGTCTTTCGGGTGTGAGCTATTAAATAAAAATATTTTGAGTACTATTTTAAGGCATGCACGCTATAATTTGAGAGTGTATTGTAACTGGCATGGGGGTGCTTATCTAAATCGGATTTGCGGAAGTAAATATGTTATTTAAAATTATTCTTTGTCAGGACTTTTTCCATCGTCTGTTCTTTAAAATCACGACGTTTCGGAGGCTGGTTCTGTCTCCGTATTCAGGTGAGAGGTACCTACTCTGTTGGGTCCCTTAGATAGAGCTAGTCTCTGTCACTGGACAATATAAATCGTGCAATTGCCCAGTAACAGAGACTAGCTCTATCAAAGAGACCCAACAGATTAGGTACCTCTCACCTGAAGACGGAGACAGAACCAGTCTCCGAAACGTCGTAATTTTAAAGAACAGACGATGGAAAAATTCCTGACAAAGAATAATTTTAAATGTAAACTACCGTCGTCAAAAACCCTTTAGAATTGAATTAAATATGTCATGAAGAAGTGGAAATGCGTTTAAATCGTGAAGTGATGACAGTAGATATCGGATTGCATTTGGCCAACAAGATGCTTCTTTTAAAACTGTTCACAACTGTTTGTTATTTTTCAACGGCGTTTCACTCCATACAGTTGTGAATACCAATTAACAAATAAATTCTTGTTTTAAAGCTTTGTGCAGAATAGCAATTGGTTGGTTCAAATAACTGGCCAAATGCAATCATTTGTCTTTTGCGTGACAGTCATAAAACATGGCGAATGAATAAGATAATAAGTAGGATGTAGTACGAACCCATAAGTAACTAGGTCGGCCCCGACAGAACAGAGGTCGATTTCCGTTTGTTTTTAAGTATAATGTCACTAATTGACGCTGTAGCTATTAGGGCAGCTACTATTAAACACACCCAAACCCAAAATAAAATTTGTGAGAAAGTTTATCATCTTTCCCCATACAAAATATGACTCGATTACATTGATTCATCAGTTGTCATCAGCCGAACAAGTATTAATAAATTATATATATATACATACATATTGTTGTTTCCTTTTAAACAAATGCGACACAGAACCAACACGTTTTAGAAGTACATCATCTAAATTTTCAGGATCTTCTATGGAATGGCTCAAGGTCACAATTTTGAAAACGATTATGGCAAGGATTTCAAATGAACATGGCTTCTGATTCTCCTTCGATAATATGATAGTTCTAAGTGAATATGAACTAATCTTAAGTGAATAGGATGTGAGGGGGTGGCCTGGGTTTGTCTGCCTCAGTAGCACTAGTGGTCGACTGTAGTAAACAACGCAACAAATTTGGATTTCATGAAGTGTGAAGAATTTCTTTGCCACGTGAGCGACAGTGAGATCCTGAAGGACTCTGCTCTATGGTACAGTCAGTTAGTTAAAAAGACAGTAACTTTCCCGAAAGGAGGAAGTGATAGTTTGGTACATAATCTGACTCTATAGCATTTAGAAAATTATTCAAAATTTCTTTTAGTTACTAAGGCAGTTATAATCCTCTTACCGTTTTCAATAGGCTATCTCTGAAATCATTATACTAGCGAACTCTTTACCAATAGAAAGTACGCCTCTTCCAACTTACACGTGCGTTCACACGTGTATGGTCATCTGCCAATTCTATGTATTTAAACCCAAATAGGCGAAATCTTATAGAGCCTTATAGATTAATGTAGCAGTAACCCCTACGTAGGTATTCAGGAGATATGCGGTTCGTATTTCGGCTGTAATTAGCTATCCTGATTGAAATGAAACCTAATTGCAATTGAGATATCCCCTTCAAACAGACCACGACCACTTCCCTTCAATTTCTTACTAATTTATATCCATGATCGCATTCCTATAAAATTCTACTCTCTTAAATAGCATTTGTAGTTGGAAGAGTATCAATAAATAATATAAGAGCCGGTCACTCCATTGCGGATTACATTTTCCTACTTTTATTTAGGATTTGGCCTGTAATAGGATTTGCCGGTCTTCTCGGCACAGATTTTAATTTATCAAGTGTTGGAATTAAAATTAATGAATTACTTGAAGTCCGTGTATGTAAATCCTAAGAACATATTTCGGCTATAGCACAGTTAAACAATAATTTTAAGGAATACGAAAAAAATTCCTAGATTTCTATCATATTTAGAATATGACACATTTTTTGTATTTGAAACCATACATTTTAGCATAAATTTCGAATGTAATTGATCACTTTCCCGCCATCATATAAACAAATGGTGCAAGAACGTTCATTATAGAATTAATACTAATCAAGATACGTGCGTTATTTTAAAACTCGATAAAGATTAAGTCTAAGGGCAAGTTAAGTTGGTAAAAATGTTCAGGATGTCACTCACCCTCCTTAAATTTGTCTTCATTCCACAGCTAGAGACAATAAATAAATAATCAGAGTGAGCAGTTCCTTGATTTAAAAGGGAGTTGTCATCACGTACCAGCGTACATTAACAGCTGGACGTACTGCTTTATCTTGTTCAGATACAAAACCCGTTCGACGTAAAAGTGACAAGCGATCAATAAAGTAGCTTAAGATGTATTAATATCTGAACTGAAATCGTGTATTTATTCGTAGATTAGTAGCCAGCACATTTCAATTAAAATTAGAACATGAAATTATTACAGTTTCAAATCTTAATCTTATTCTTCGCTTATGCATACACTTTACTGTGGCATAACGGGAGGTTCGGGATTCATACTCAATTCGGATTTGTGACGATGGTTTCGAAACTTGTTGGTTCCAGATAGTGGTATTGAATTTTCAGGTTCTGTTACCACAATGCTAGTTGGTTTATGTTTGTTATACTTCGGAAATTTACTTAACATTAGACATTAATGTTATGTGTTTTAATTTATGAACTCAATAAAATACTTGATATAACATTTATTTTACTGTAACTATGACAGCACAAATGTTATTCTACTTATTACACAGAAGGAAACTGGGCTTGGAAGATAAATCGCTTCGGTGTTGATTTATGTTATAAATCAACACCGAAGCGATTTATCTGTGTTTCATAAAAGAGACTTGAGTATAATTTCGCCTGAAATTGCATTTAAAGTGTTTTAAATCGACAGGTTATTAAATAAACTTGTTGCATAGGGCCTACATTAAACTTTTAGTGGTCTCCCGGAATGCCAAATTATGGTTTCTATCAAATTTAAATCCTTCTGTTCGTGACGCTATCTTAAAATAGACCGTGATCTCCACCGAACAAAGTGCTGTCTAACAATCCAATATTTAGTACAAGTCTTTTATATTGAATAAAAATTTTCTTGGATATTATTCATCGTCTAGTAAATATAAAACGTAAATCGACGTTTCGGAGATGGGACTCTATCTCCGTCTTCAGGTTCCTACACAGTTGGGCCCACTAGATAGAGCTAATCCCTATCTCCGGAGTGTAGGAACCTGAAGACGGAGATAGAGTCCCATCTCCGAAACGTCGATTTACGTTTTATATTTACTAGACGATGAATAATATCCAAGAAAATTTTTATTCAATATAAAAGACTTGTACTAAATATTGGATTGTTAGACAGCACTTTGTTCGGTGGAGATCACGGTCTATTTTAAGATAGCGTCACGAACAGAAGGATTTAAATTTGATAGAAACCATAATTTGGCATTCCGGGAGACCACTAAAAGTTTAATGTAGGCCCTATGCAACAAGTTTATTTAATCTTTTATATGTTCAAGAATGTCTGATAAACTTTTACGTTGGGCAATCTGAATTCTTGTCAGTACATTAAAGAACGATAACACTGGCTTCTTAACACAGATCCATGGTATTTTTTCAGCAATAGAATGTATTTGATGGCTGTATAACAGGATTTTAGTTATAAACATGGTAACTGTAGCTCATTCCAGCATACTACCACCATCTTTCAGTATTAAAATAAAAACTGACCTGTACAAAATGTTGAACGCTTTCTAGCAGCATACCATACATTATGTCTATTTTGTGCAGAACTTCAGGTCCACAGTAATAAATTCAGAGTTAACCAGCTTAATACTTCGGTGGTGCAGGTACAAATATAAGTAATATTATTCATACAAAACTGGTGTTCCAAAATTATTTTATTTTTAATTCAAATGCAACTGAAGATTGATCATGTGACACTTCACTCGACACTAAAGTATGAACTTTCACGACACACTTCACGCAATATCCACTTCGTTGCATCATTGGATCGACACACACAACAAGAGTTTCATTGTCGATGTCTTTGGTGCCTTCACACACACAAACACACGCACGCACGCACGCACACGCCGCTACTAGCCGTGTGTACATGCGTATTGCTTGCAGCTATAATCCATGTCATGCGTGGAAGGACCTAGCTGGTGGAGTCTAATTCTAAACAGCTACATCCATTATAATTTACACTTCATATATTGTAGTCTCTGTTTAACTTATATTCACGAAGATAATTACGACCAAATTAAACTTATAGAATACCATCCATTTCACAATACGTTTGTAGCTACCTCAGTGAGTATTAATACGATTGTGGAGAAAAATTTCACAATATGAAGTGTCATAATATGTACTCTTCACCGAATAATATTTGGATGGTCAAATGAAGAATGAGATGGGCGAGGCATAGAGAATGCGTGCCGAGTGGATGGCCCTTTGAACTCAGTAGTGAAATTTCTGATGCCATAAAAGGCGGGGAATTCTTGACTAGCTAAGCGACTATTATCTTCTGAAACATGACTCAGCTTCATATAGTTATTTAGTAAATTAGTCGCATAGACACGAAAAATTCCGATTTTACAGTTATTTTACACAAAGGTGAAACTGAACCATATAAAATGTAGCTGGTCTAAAAATGGACACATGATACATACATAATAAAATATACAATTTTCATTTGTAGTATTTTCCCGTGTGTTGTTAATTCTAGAACCGCTGAGCTGATTTTCATGAAATTTGGTATGCCATTGGAGCCTAATCCGTAACAGGCACTTTAAATTTTTGTTTTCAGTTGGAAATACTTTATCGGATGAAAGAAGCGACAGACATGAATGAACCCATATGGAGTTTTTTGCTTATATAAAAGCGCAAAGAACACCTAAAACTATTCTTAAAGTTTCTGTACACGAATTTCCTATCCTGATACAATCATGCATTAGTTTAAATGAAGTATTTATTATCGATAGATCGAAGTCGATGGGCTATATCGAAAACTGAAGCATATCGAAAATTGGTCAACATAAAACATGGCCACTGCCTGTAGTGAAGATTTGCCAGTTTCTCCAACAGATAGTAAGTCTGTGACTGAATCAGTTAATTCTTCCGGCAGCAAAAGCTTGTCACGTTCTCCATCAATTTCGTCTATGAAAGAAGACAGATGGCCTGCATTAGTTGTTTCCAGGGAACCAAAAATTGGCGTGAGGAAAGTGATCAAGTGTAAGAGCATGTTTATGATTTTTTTAATTTCTCATAATATTGCATGCATGTAATGCGTTTTCTGAATGGTTTATAAGATGTGTAATTTGGGACTTGATAGTGATATAGCTGTGAAATGAAATCTACTGTCTTTCGAGTAGCTTAATACTTCTCACAATAATTACATGACTTGATGTAATATATGTTTGAACAAACCTGTCATAATTATTACATAGTGGCTTGCCGTAATATTTTCATGAAAAAAGAAAAGTCTGCCTGAATATCATGTTACTGGTAATTGTGAAACAGAAGCACTTTACATCACAAGTTTTCACAAGGAAATCTCCCAAATCAGGTTTCACATATTTCCCCTTCCACCTGTTAAACTAACCCCACACTGTCTCTAAATCTAACCTTACTTCTCTTACACTGACAGAATTTAATGTCATTTAAGTAAAACTCCTAGAAATGTATGTGAACAATATTGCCGTGTGATGATCATACTCAACCCCATCTAGTCTTTTGGAATTTATTTACATTCCATAGATCCTTCATGGTACCAGCTAAGGATGTGGAACATGTCTTCATACAAGTACCAGCACTTGGTACATGTAACAGTACCAATACAAATGTAACTGCATCATTGATACAGATATATATATATATATATATATTTATGTAGTTGTAGAAGGAATGAGATAACAGATAATCTTTCATTGCTCTCTTAGATACTTTTATGCGTTGGTTTAACCTTTCAATGCTATCTGGAGGAATATTGACTAACTTAATCTTTGCATAGTAAACCCCTTTCTGGTGACTAATGAAGTTAACATTCAGCATATGGAGATCATGTTTATGTCTTGTGTTTGTACTGTGTGTCAGAATTTGTTTGAAACTTCTCCATGTCATCTAAAACAAACAGCAGTAATAAGAGTAAGAATTCACATGCAAAGGAAGTATATAAAATTTCTTAAATAGTTCTAAGTAAGATATTTTTTCAAACCTGCCATTATTCTATTGATTTTTTTTTTTTTTGATGTTAAATACTCTTTTGCTGCCTCTTCAATTTCCCAAGAAGATAACTCCATAAGAAATGATGGAATGGAAATAAGCAAAGTAAGTTCATTTTAGGTATCCATTTTAAGGAGTTACAATAAGAGATGCATATTTGCTGGGTACAGCACTACAGTGACATACATATTCAGATTTATGGCTTCTAGATTTACTATTGTAGTGCATCCTTTCATGACACCCTTTTATCATCTATATCTAATGTCTTTATATGTTTATATGGATAAATGGTTAGTTTGGTTTGAAATATATTTTATAGGCCTAGAAACCTGCACCTAACATCCAGGCTACCTTGCCTTGGTTTTGCAAAGTCTTGCCAACAGTGTGTTTTTTTAATTAAAGAAACCCCATTGTTATCAACTGATTGCTATAATCAGATAAACATGTCTCATTGGCACTTTGTCCACAATGAATCCTACATGGACTCTGCTCCAGATTCACAACATGGCCTCTGTATTGTGACCTAAGTAGCTGTGCATTTGAGTCGTGGCATTGTGGGAAGTAAATAATATTCGTTCTTATGATGTTCATTAAATAATTGTATTTTCTTTAAGAATGTTCTGTTAGTTATATAGACTTTTCACCAATGTGACTGACTCATAAGTTTCAGATAAATTGTTAATGAGCTGTTCCATTATTCTTGCATTACTAGTGTCATCTGTGGTTTAATAGTTCATATATTTTAGTGTTATAAACCCTGTGTCTTAATTTTCTGTGATTATTTACTATTTTCATATCACTGTGACAGAATAAATTTAGGATGTGCAATATAAAACTTCCTGCATATTATAATGTTGTAATTGTTTTCGTGTTGGTAGTCACGTGAGTGTTGTAGGTGATACGATCACAATACACCAGCTTTTGTAAAAACTGCTTTCTTATACTGAACTTCCCTTTGAATATTTGCAAAACTGCACAATTTATTCTGTGGTATTCCTGAACTGAAGCCATCCCTTTATTAAACACACTTATCTTCTGATCTAATCGCATTTACTCTTTGAGTAAAAGAGACTACTGTAGTTGATTATGAACCATCAATTCCTAAGAAGCATTTAGCACCAAAGGTATTTTCCTGTTCAGTGCAGATTGGGTAAGTTTCGGTTGATAAGTAAAATGTTTTTGTGATTTATGAACAAAAGTTTGTATTTATTAATTTATATCAGGTACTGTACCTTATCAAAGCTGTTATGTGATGCTAAGCAACACTGCTGATTATCTTTTTATGATAAGACTGGTGAATTGAACAGAACTGAGTTAGCTTTGTAGTTAATATCTAATATGGTTACTGTTAAAATGTTTTGGTTCTCAGACTACCAAACTGGAACTGGAAAACATTATAGTGGTAAGGTATATAATCAGTCATATGTCTTTCTAGGATTTCCTTGATAGAAATGATACGTTGATGTCATGGCAGTGTGATTTAAAGCAAAATGTTATAATTATTTTACTTATTCTGATAAATCACAGGCATGTGAATATTTTATTTTGTTTATGGACAACCTGAATCTGTTAGTAGGTCTCAGATCAGAATGCAGCTGTCTTAAATATTTACAGAAATATAATTTACCTGTTTTTTATGTGAATGGGAAAGATCTCTGTCTGAAGGAAAAATAAAGATTGAAGAGATCTGAAAGCTGATGAGAGTGTGATTTGGGACAAAAGTGATAGTTTAGCTTGAAGAATTTTGTAATAATAATAATATGGGGTCATGGGAGCCCAAAATTTGAATTTTTAGTAGTGTTTGTTGTGAAAAGCAGTCCATACAAAATAATGTTTCCATTAGTTCCCTCATCCATAAACTGAGTTGACATTATCAGAATAATCCTTTTTTCACTAAGTTATAAGAATATCAACAGAAATAATCAAATTTGGATCCTGTTTTCAACAAAAACATTTTGTAGAGATGAAATTTCTATTCATCAGTAGGTCATGGATGATTTATAGATAGAAAGTCCAGTGGCTCAGTAGGTCGTTAATGAAAATACAATTTATTCTCATACTTTTTAAAACTAAAGATTAACATTTATCATGTCTTGTAATGGAATGATTTCATAAAGGTGAGTAAATAAGAGTTTAACTGCTAAAAGTTGAAGCATGTCTAATTTATAATATTTTAAAAGTCATTTTGCACCTCAATGAAAACACAGTACATCTCCATAACAAAGTCCAGATGGTTAATGTTGTTTGATGAAATATTTGCTTTTTACTTGGAGAATCACATGAAACCCATAAATATATTTATGGAGAAAATGCAGCGTTACTGATTATTAAAGTGGGTGGTACATATTGTTACCATTGGGCTTGAAAGGGTTACAAAACAAAGCTGTAAGTTGCAGATGTACAGAATTTTGAACTCATATTGTGTTAGTATTTGTAGATATAACTCCACCCTTTGAAGCTGAAGTCCATCTAAATAAAATTTAATAATTTTATCTCATAGAAAACACAACATGCCTCCACTAGAAAGATTGACTGGTTAGTGCTGTTTAAGGAAATAATTGTGATTTTCTCTGAGACTCCATCTATAGAATGCTGAGTTATTGATTATTAAAGCTGGTAGTACATAAGTTGTCAGTTGGCTTTAAAGGGTTAGAAGTTTTAAAGCAGTATGAGAGAGGTCATATAAACTATTTCAGTGAAATCCTTTTGCAGAGATTTAGGAATTAATGCAGAATTTCTGTGTCACTGTTCTGTTGTCAACAGTTTATGTGTATTTAGCAGATGACTGCAATCTTGCGTCTTACAGCTATGAGTATTGATTTTCACAGAGTGACTGTGGTGCCATCTTGTGTGGTGTGTTGTGTGAAATCAATAACTGTGGCTCTTGAATGTGAAGGCTAGTGGCCATGATTCTCGGTGTTCTTTTCCAAACTAGTGGTGGTTTAATTAGTTTCTTCTTTGTATTAAGAATGGACATAGGATTGTGTGTCTTCAGGAAGTTAGGGATTCGAACTGGCAGAATTTACTAACATGTAAATAACATTAAATCAGTGTGTGCCTATTCCTGTAACATTGTATATCCTCTTGTTAATTTAAAAGATTGGTATTTAGTAGTGCCTGTTAGTATGTAACGGTTTCATTGTCATTACTGTAAGGCACACGTTAAGGAACTGGCAGTATTAAACAGGTTTATGATTCAGGTTCCTAAATATTTATTAAAATGACTGATTGAGAGGATTCAGAAGTTTGAACAGCTTGTTGCCTTTTCTTTAAAGTAATATATGAAGAACTTAATCTTGTCAATAATTTTGATACATATTTAAACATTACAACATTGTTATTGTTAGATGAACTAAAATTGAAATATTTAAATTTGTCTTTCATTATAACTGTGAACACTGGAAATATTTGAAACCGTTGTTTGCAACGGAGAGTCGGGTAGGATGATTGATCAAGATATGGCAGGTGCACAGGACACCATCTATCTGTGCAACTTCCGTGTATCTGTTGATGGTGAATGGCTCTGCTTGAAGGAATTGCAAGATGTGGAATTTAGTGTCCCAGAATCTTCATCTCAACCATCAACTCCATCCCCTGATGAACCTCTACCACTACTTGGTATGCTTCCGAGGAATGTTTGTACTTATTACTTGAAATGCGTTAATTGGCATTTCACTGCCCTGTAGAACCATTTTCCCTATGTGAGATATGTATGGTGTAAACAAAGGGTTTAGCCAGTGAAGCCATTGAAAACAGATTGACAAATAATTTTCTTTTATTTTAGCCCGAGACCCTGTAATGATTGAAAGAAGTAATTTAGTGAACATATCAAAACTAATAGTCAAGGAGCTGATAGAAACATCACTTAAGTATGGCCGAATGTTGGATTCTGACAGCATGCCTTTGCAACATTTCTTTATAGTTCTGGAACATGTGTTAAGACATGGATTGAAACCAAAGAAGGTAATATTACAGTTTGAATTACATATTTTATAATAAACACTGTAATTCTGAATAGTGGTATTTTACAAACTTTGGATATGTTTATAAAAAGGAATGAATTATGCAGAATGAGCAGGTCAGATGTCTGTGATTCATTATTACTGCATGACAAGTAGTAGGTAGGGATAAACATTTTTTTGTATTAATTCAAAAAAGAAAGTGGTAAGTTTATGTATAAAGTGTAGGCAAAATATTTGCCACATTAAAAGTATTTTTCAGCTCCTGTGAATAGCCTGCCTATATGTTAACCCATTATGTAACCAATTTCACTTTTATGAATAATTAATATTGACAAATTAATGCTCATGTTTTTTCACTTCAACATAATCAACATTTTTAATAGATTTTCTATGCTAAATGATGTCATGTTGGTCATTGATGTCAAGTAATAGTTCTCTTGTGACACAGTTAAACTGAAATTGAAGCTCTGTTATCATATCAACAAACTTCAGAAATTATTAAAAGAGTTATTTTAATGCTTAGTGAAGAATTGCCCAGAAAGAGTTCATATTGGCTTAGTGCTATATAAAGTCATGACAGTACTTGATTTATTTCTTTTCATTGTCCACAAAGTGAAGTTAAGTTACTTGTTTCAGGGCCTGCTTGGACCCAAGAAAGAACTCTGGGATATTTTACAGTTTGTTGAAAAATATGCTATCGAAGCACAAGATATTACAGCAAGTGTTAGAGATCTTCCAACTGTTAGGTGAGTGATAGTGCTGTGACATATAGGAAACTAATTTACTAAATAATGGTCGTAAAGTTATAATGATTCTTTAAGCCAGTACTCAACAAATTCTAGTAACCAGGGTGGAAATCAAAAAAGATTGGAAGTAAACTACTTTTCAGTTTCAAAATTCACATAATTTTCACAGAAATTTCACACTATTACAAAAGATGTCTGAATATTTATTCCTGTAAGTCCATTACTGTTCATCAGTAAGTAAAAAATTATGGAATTCTACATCAAAGGTGCAAGTTCATGTACAGGACTTGCTGTGACATTGCAATGTAGAATTACGGAACTAGGTCAGGTGACAGCGAAACACGTTTACCCTTTTATGTAGACTCGGAATACTGAGCGGTATTTCCTTTTTCAGGACTCATATGGGCAGAGCTCGAGCCTGGTTGAGATTAGCCCTGATGCAGAAAAAATTGGCTGATTATTTAAAGATATTGATTGATCATAAAGATGATCTTTTATGTGAATATTTTGAACCAGATGCCCTCATGATGAGTGATGAAGCTATTATAATAATGGGACTCCTCGTGGGTCTTAATGTTATAGACTGTAACCTGTGTGTGAAGGTAAGTGGACTATATCGTATAAAACTGTATAACCCCCGCCCACCCCCTTGAAACATCTGTACCTGTATTCACATGTGACACAGGAAGGGTGAGATATTTTTACAAGTTTATTTACAAAATTGTGAAAATTATGGCTTAATCCTTTTAGAGCATTTATCAACAAAAATCAGCATAATAAAGCTTCTGGTTAAATTTCATAAGAGTTATTTTATGAATTACTTACAATACAAAGAATTTTTGTTTAACTGTCGATTGGCATAAGCCATAACCTTTATTTGGTGGCAAAGGAATTATGTTACAGTTCAGCTGAGAACGTTAGGTATTTTTTCCTTATTTATGGATGGATTAGTGCAGTGGTATTCAACCTGGGGAATGCGAAGACATCTTAGGGAATACATGAAATTTAAAATATATATATATATTTTAAATTTCATGTATTCCCTAAGATGTCTTCGCATTCCCCAGGTTGAATACCACTGGATTAGAGTACCTTATAATAGCCTCTCTTTAACAATATGTATGTTTAGTCTGTGTACAAAATATGTTCTCTAATTGAAGATAATATGATCAGGTATTGATTATTTATTTTAGTATTGATAGTCTTTTATATTTCTGTCAATTTCCATTCTTAGAAGAAAACATATTTCTGATTCTTAAAGTAAGAAGGTAGGTGGAGAGATGTAGAATTATTTTTAATTTTTTAATACGATGTATTATAAGCCTTGGGTCACTATGTGCAATGAATTTCATTTAACAGGAAGAAGACTTGGACTGTCAGCAGGGTGTAATAGATTTCTCACTGTACTTGCGGTCAAGTAACCAATGTAGTGAATCTTCAGAAGATGATTTGGATCATGATAACATGACAACTGTACTTGACCAAAAGAATTATATTGAGGAACTCAACAGGCATCTAAAGTATGTATATTATTAGTGATCGTCATCACATCATACATCCATTTCAGATGTGGTGAGCGATGTGACAAGTGAGAAATAATGGGACGATATTATCCAGTATTTTCTAAATGTTTTTTCTTTGATTTTGTGTTCCATATTGACCTGGGGGTTTATTTATTGCAGATACAAATATGTTGTTTATTTATTCATGAACGATGATTTCAGTACCTTAGATTATGTAATGTTGAAAGTCTGTTATTATGAAGTTAATAATTGTCTTGAAAATGACACTATATAGAAATATGAATTATTTTTCTTTTTACTTCATTTAATATATAATATGCCAACTTTTTGTTTGATAAACAGTTTTTGGAGATAAGATATACTGTTTGATTTAAGCTTTATAGAAAATGGGCTTTATATAAGACCAGTACAGGTAAACCTCGATTTGCGCTCAGTTTGCTTCTTGTTGACACATTGAATGTGCTGAAAACTGTGTGCTAAATGTGTTTGTGTTGTTGTTTGACCACTATTCTGCAGTAGCAACTGTTTTATATTTATAAATTGTAGAAGAGCCACCATGTCTGGTAAGAGAAGTAAATGTGTTGCTAAAAAGTTGCATAGGTCTATTGCGTTAGAAGATAAGATTGACATAATTCGTAGAATAGAAGGTGGTAATACCCGTCGTAATGTGTGCAGAAGCATGAAGTTGCCTCCTTCCACTGTAACTACCATAATGAAAAATTCATATAAAATAAAACAGTCAATGCAACAGGCTACGAGAGTAAGTGCAATGCAAGTGAGTTATAGCAGAAGTAAACTTTTAGAAAGAATGGAGAAATTACTGTTGCTATGGGTGGATGACATGAATCGAAAAAACATTCCCTTGACTGAAATTGCTATCACGTATAAGGCGAAGTCAATTTTTGAGGAACTTAAGTCGTCAGTGTTTGGAGCCGGGAACGCACGATTTACATTATAAAAAGAGTTTCAATTTACGCAGGTTCGTCCAATAACGCATCCCGGGCGTAAATCGAGGTTTACCTGTAAGTAAAGTTTGTCCCGCTACGTGCCATACAGGCGCTTGGGGTGAGTGGAGGTATAGCTCCTCTCTTCCTTGACCTCGGCACTAGATGGGGGTGAGTGGTTAGCATCACGCCCCGGCCGGCCTAACCCCCGGGAAAGGACCCCGGTACCCATTGTAGATGAGGCTGGGTGGGCCCCAGAGCCGGTCTGGACGCAGAGGCTAGAGGAAAAATCCTCTGCCCTCGTTGGGTATCGAACCCGTCCTGTATAGATAAAAATAAAATTTTCTTGATAAGTTTTGGCCTTGGATTGAGAAACTGTATTTTGTAGCATATTTGTTAATAACTGTTGTGTTGTATTTCAGTGCTACTGTAACAAATCTGCAGACTAAGGTTGAAGCGTTAACAACTACTAATGCACTGATGAAGGAAGATATGTCAATTGCAAAAAGTAACATCTTGTCACTGTATGAGGAGAATGTTAATTTGAAGAAGGAACTCGGCTTGGATGTAAATGCAGACAGAATGGATGAGGGAGGAGGTGATGGGGAACCAGCACATACCAAGAAGTCAGAAACAAACTCAGAGGTAGAAGAACTGAAGATACAGCTAGAGAATGAGAGGAAGCAAAGACGTGAGACCGAAAAAGAACTTGGTCTGCAGGTAAGGAGTGTAACTATGTCAGGGAAGAAGAGATGTTGCAGATGATATAAATGACTGAAGTGTTGTGTTCAGAGACTGTGGGATATAAGTGAAAGGAAGGATAATATTAGCATGGATTGAATGCACTTTGTCTAATTTTTTAGATTAATTTAAGAAATCCAAGATGAGGCAGACATGTAGCACACATGAATTAACTTGGATAAACGATAAATACATTCACAGTTTGCTTGATATAGCCATAGCAGATATTAGAGAAAATAATTATGTTTTTAACCTGATTGTATCAGTTGATTATGCCATTTTTTCTTCCACATCCTACATTACTCACTCAGTTCACATAAATTTGTTAATAAAATAAATTGTATGGTTATAACTTTGTACTGTACTTTGAGATACATTTGTATCAGTATTTATACATCTTCAGCCATAATGGTCAGTCAAAAACAGTGTCTCATAACAAACATTTTTGCCATAATTAATGACCTCAAACTTGAGTAAAAGAATGTTCAATCTGTCAGTAGTGTTTTACACTAACATTTGACTGTTAATTATAATTATAAAACCCAGTTGGTAAATTGTTTTCTTCTTATTTAACAGATAAGTCTGAAGGCAGAAATGGAAGTGGCAATGAAATTATTAGAAAAAGATATTCATGAGAAACAGGATACAATAGTATCATTGAGAAGGCAGTTGGATGATATAAAACTCATAAACCTGGAAATGTACAAGAAACTTCAGGTAAGGAGAGAATTTCATACTTATTTGTAGTAAAATTATTTATTGTTAATACCATTTTGTTTACAAATTAAAACTGGTGAACTTTTGTAAGATTGAGTTTCTTACAGCTGTGAGTATGAAAATGGCCATCTTCTGGGATATTGCATTATGTAGTCTGGTAGATATTGACCAACATTTCAGAGGAGCTGACAGCTTCCATCATCACCCTGATGATGAAGGTAGTAAGCCCATATGAAATATCAGTCAGTTTACCAAAAGACAGTCATCTTTGTGGGAAATTTTTTGTTGTTGCTTTGTGTTTTATATGTTTGTACAAAATGCTCAAATTAGTGTTTCTTTGTATCAGATTGTCATGTTAGGTTTAGAGAATTCTTATTAAATGAGTGCCCTGGTTATAGTTTTATTACATAAAATAATTTTAAATTGTGTGCTGCTATTTGGTAAATTATATATATGTTGTAAGATTTGAGGTATGAAGATTTTTGTCTTCTGGGTTGTTGTGCCGTGTAGTCTGGTCGATGTTAACCAACGTTTCAGAGGTCATACTTCCTCCATCATCAGGGCAATGAATATGCCATTCACATTCCGGCACCTATAAACCTAGCCCCACACACCCTATTGGCATATTCATCTCCCTGATGACACATTGGTGAACATTGACCAGACTACACAGCGAAACAACCCAGAAGACAGAAATCTTTATATATATGTTGATTGTTAATCTTCTAGGTTTTAGATTTCAGGTTTATTTTTCTTATTGTTTTAACCAGGAAAATCATACTTAAAATAAATAATGTTCTCCATTATCACACTTTGTCATTCAATTTTTAGGAATGTGAGGAAGAGTTGACCCAAAAAGGTGAGATGGTGACACGTCTCCAAGCTAAAACAAGCCAAATTGGTCAAATCCTCAACAACTTAGAAAAATACAATCATTTGTTGAAAGATGCTGAAAAGGGGGGTCACACCTCAGCAAGGGGAAATCAGCCCAAAAAATAGTAGCAGGAACACATAAGTCATATCTCTGTATGTTTAGTTTGCATTATCTTAATGTGCAGTGATTTTATCAAGGTATTTTCACAGGAACTGTGTATATATGAATTGCTTTAATAATTGGGTTTCTTATTTTGTGTTGTTTATGAGCCACTGATAAATTATATTGCAGGAGTGTGAGAGCTCGCTTAAACACAAAACTGAACTAATCAGCAAACTGGAGGCTAAAACATTCGCTATGACTGACACTATACAGAAAATGGAGGAAAAGTAGGTACTGCCTGTTGTTGTCTTGGTGTTTACACGTTTTAACTCACGGACAAGGACAAAAGAATAGGAACATTTTAAGACCAATTTAGTAATAAATACTTGAGATTGTTTTGGACCAGGTGGAAAGGGATGTTCACTCTTTGTTTTGAAACAAGGAATTTGTTAATAAAATGTGCCCTCCGTATTGTTTTGAAAGGCTTGCATAAATATTTGTACAAGTATAATTTGTCCTTTGAATGCTGCTTAATGTCAATAGCCAGAGCTGCTGCATTGCATTATAGCTTTAATTGTTGTGTTATTTAAATACTGGCCCTATTCCTTTTGCCTTCAAAATAAATTTTGCAGTACAGTTGTGTTTATTATATATAACATTAAAAATGGACTATCAGACTGAAAGCAAAACAAAGTTTTCATCACTTATAAATGGTTCTGGTGATGGTATATTACAATTATTACTGAATTTCTGGCCTTTGTCCATCATCTGGTATTCTGAAAAGAAAATTTTAGACTTGTTTAAGTTCTCAAGTGAAGAGTTGTGGAGTTACTACTCATCTCAGTCCATTAGAAAGAACAAATCTCAATCACTGGACCACCCAACTAAAGCAAAAAGTCCCTGAGATCAAATATTGTCAGCTGTAGATAATAAAGACATTTTGCAATAAAAATTGTGGAAACACCCACAAGGATCAAAAGACAGATATAAACCCATATAACCAATGGACAAGTCCAGAAATCCTGTAACAATAAAGTTTATTCTCACTGCATTAAATCTATCAAGAAACAAATTGTTGTCATATCCATAACAAAGTGATGTTTTGTGCTTAAAATTCAACCACATGTTATGGATCATAATATAGGAATTAAATGTAGTTTAGTAGTGAAATATTAAGAAAGAGT